TCCCGACAAGTTTCGAATCCGTGACGGTATCCGTGATTTTTATTTATAAATAGGAGTGAAGTACCGGCGACATACCGATGAAGCAAACGTTTGTTGTTGACAAGTTCGCGTAATCAACGTACTAACGTACATCAATATATAACGATACATATATCAATAATATCGCTATCTATGTTCATCTAAACATTTACCTTAAACACACGAGTAAGTACAGGATTAAGGCACGCCGTGTAATACTCGTTTAACGTTACATACCGGATAGCATGACTCAGTTACGGTCTTTGTCATTTTAACTACAGGATCCTTACAACGCTTAATGCAACGCCGATAGCAAAGGACAATAAAAATAGAGCATTTAAATTTGATGGAAAAGTGTATTATGCAACAAAGAATAGAATTGGCTTCCAGCATCCGCTTATTACATAAGGCAGATTGTATTCCGCCATTTCCCTGCAGTAGAACTGTAATTGCCGTGACTTTTTAAGTTTTCGTTCCAAATTGTGATGTTGGTAAGGAACACTGCTCGTCGCCCACCATTAGCATCCTGCTTCGTGCCCGCTCTGCGATTTTTCGGCTATGTTATAATTAACAAGCTTCCTCAGATAAATACAACCACACAATGATCACAGAGTGGGCTAATCTTAATTCACTCTTTCTAAAAGAATGCGTTTCGCTCTATTCTTAAACTGTATCCAATGCATATTTAAAAAGTTTTAGCTGTTAATTAATCGGGAATGCGTTTCTGAGAATTCTTCAGCAATACTGTTTAGTTTTGTTTCTGACATGCGTGTCCTCTACATCAGTGAGGGGGGAAATTTCCAACAACTGTCGACTTATTATTTCACCACTCTCACTTAAACATACTTTTAACGAGACTAAAATTGAAAGATCGACTTTAAATGTAATCACCAGCTTTCTTGCGTTATTCATTAATTAAGATAAACATTTGAAAAAGAAACCGGCAAGAAAATACCAACATGTGAAAACAGCAATAAGCCAGTCTCAAATTCGATAAAACTAGGGCAAATATAAAAGATTTACACAGATACTCCTGAGAAAGTACAAGCAGAATAAAGATCGGGTGTTCCGAACAACATCCGCCATGTAACGCAACTTGGTACTTGGTCAATTCATGTACGTAAGGTCACGTTCTCACGTTGTTGAGAACAAGGTATGCATTAACGGAACCTACCGGCAAGCTAACGAGGATCAAACACGCCCAGCTACATAGCACACAAAGAAAATGGTATATCGGCAGTCCATGACTGTTTTTGATCCAATAAAAACACATCCTGTTAAGCTTACAATAAAATAATTAGGTACTCATAGATATACATTATGTAGAACTTGCTCTGATTTTTAAAGGCTGTGGTTGAGTATAAGAATATTTTAATGAAAGAAGAAATCGAATTCAAAGGCAAAATTGAATTTCAAACACGACAAGAATATGGGATCGATCATACATACATAAATCACAATTGCAAATATGGTGCATCAAATTGGGCGCAGATCGCGACTTTCGGAAATCCTTTAGATGTATCATACTGCATATATATAAACTTATTGTCGTACAAAAAGCTATCGTTAAAACATGCGGTGACATGTGGGCGATGATTATGCCTAGACGGATTTTTTTTATCTCTATGCTACTTAGATTTCGGACAATATGTAATTCTAATCCTGGAAATCCGGTCTGGTGGCCACATTTGAATGTGAAATACTGCTTTATTGATTGTCGGGTTTTATGGTTTGGATGAATCGTCACGCGTTATAACATAATCTTGTGAAACGATGGGGGCGATCAAATGATTCAATACTATTGATCTGGAGATCTAGATAATGTCAACATGTTTACTTTAAAGTTTAGCCGGTACAGACGAAACACTTGGAATTTAACGAGGTCTTCGATTTATGCGAGTACGAGATAGCGAAGTTCGTGTGTAAAGCGAGCATATTAGAAAGGTAATAAGCAATTTATAAGCAATTAGTTATAAAAAATCGTGAGACATTATCCTTATTAGGTTGTTAACAAATAAAATTGTTTGTGACATAATTAAACGTTTGTCATTTTTTTTACTCCTATAGATATACTCGGATCGCATGAAATCTTTCATTACTAGCATTCCTTTCATTTGAATGTCGAATTGCAAGACATAAACGGAACGATTTTCCGTAGTGGAATAAGATAAAAGGGCGATGTTTTTCTGGCGATATTTACTCCATATCTCACCTTTGACCTCTATAAAACAATGACTTTGAAATGAGCATTTGATGTTTCAATGACTTCATTCACCACACGAAAAGTCATTTCAGATACAGTTTCATATGAAATCGAATAAGTCATAGATTCGACTACGCTTTATTGAAGATATGTGTAATCGATATGTAAGTCTACGCGTTCCCTCATCTTGATGTAGATTAAGAACTTGCCCCTTTCGGAGTATCCAAATTGCTAAGTTAAAATTGTATGTAGATTTCTGTAAACATCTGAATACAGTAAAATAGATGTTTTTATTCTTTGATGACAAAATGCATGTGTGAAATTCGATAAAGATTGTATTTGGTTTTAAAAATGTATTTTAATTAATAACGCTGTTTTGTTTTATTCCATGGATTTATTGTTTATTCGACAATAGTGTGAAAAATGTTTGTTTATTTAATTAAAGTTCGATATTAAGATTATTGTTTTAACAATTCCCAGCATCGCACTAATTCAGTCGTAAATTTCACACATGGATCTCAAGCTGTGGAATATGATGAAAACAAAAGAGAGAAAAAATCCGGACGAAAGTTCTAATTAAACAAAAAAGGTAAAATCTAATCCGGCAGCTCAACCTCACGTTGAGGACGGTTTGACATGCCGCTTTACTGATAGTTCCCGAGTTCAGAGAGATTTCTACTAATGCTGATTTCAGCATTAGTCGGACCATTTACCCAAATATTCCTGTGGAGACCATTTATCAAAACTATCGGTTTTTATTATGTTTGTTTCAAAATAACATTTTGAATTGATTTTCTTTCTAATTCAATATATGACGACAGAAGAGTGATGTTTTGAATAATATTTTAATGTTTTTACATTAGATTGATGCCATCACGACTGTCAGAAAGACCGTATTCTGTTTATGTTGTAAGGCTAAAGCAGCCGGGTAAAGTCAGTGGTAACAAGGCACGCATATACTGTATTTTAGAGATCGGCAGCAAACGGAAACATGCTATATTTTAGCAGGAAATGTCTTCAATGAAATTTCATTGTACGCGTCAGATATCATGATGGATTGCATTACGTCTCAACCATTTAATCACGTTCTATTTGGCCTGACATTTCTTGTTTCCGTGAAAAGTTTTTTTCTGTTCGCTTGGCGTGTCAGAAAACTAAATGAAAATAGGTTTTTGTCATTAATAACGATCTAAATTCAAAGACAATATTGGGCTTAGAAAGTCAGCGTAATAGACAATTTGTCAATAGAGGCATGCGGATGAATCGGTTATAACTACAAATTATGTTTCTGTTTTATAGTAATTGAAAGCTTTACACATTTCCGCCCGAGAGTGATTTACAAAAGCAAATTTTCAATAAAGATGTTTGTTGATATTTGGTTAAAGGTACGTGCAATCTGAGTCTCTATGCATGTGATACGTGTCAGCGACCCCATTAGACATACGCTGTAGTACATATTGAATTCTTTTGATTTATAGTAACAATAATCAACAGTTACATTTACCTAGTTCATTGATGTATGATAAGAAAACAACTGGTTATTGATATATATCATGGAGAATCGCTGTATTTGATTGTCAATTGACAAAGGGAAGCAGTCTTTAGTGGTACAATCAAGATGAATATCTTAAGCATTTGAAACCATCGAGCATTTGTACCCCTAAAGCACGACACAGATTTTAAGATAATGTCAAAATGAAGTTTAGAGTAGCAACTTAATCGCTAGGGCCCATTTGAAGACACGCTGGTTTCAGTGTGTTCGAACGATTCATTTTGAATTGTATTTAGAAAACTATACATAGAAGTGAAAATATTTCAACAATATTCAGCTCCCAGGTCTATCTGACTTCCTTCGTTGAAAATGAATCCTTCATTTCTATCGGCCAGCTACCTTCTCACAACTGCATTCAAATATACAATTAAGTGAAACAGAATTAATTTCATTAATGAAAAGAAAAAAGGCAATGTTACGCTACAAACGAAAATGAAAAAAACACAATCTGTAACGACATCAGAAAATGATATCATAGACATGTTCTTTAACAACAGAATTAAAACGTCACCATATGTAATTCATATTCAAATGTCAAACCGCCAGAAATGTAACGTCACCAAATATAATTACATATTCAAATGTCAAAGCGCCGGAAAATATAAAGTCACCAAATGTAATTACATATTCAAATATCAAAACGCCAGATATGTAACGTCAAAAAATGTAATTACATATTCAAATGTCAAACCGCCAGAAATGTGACGTCACAAATGTAATTACATATTCAAATGTCAAAAGTCCAGAAAATGTATTAGCATTATAGATGTGATAAATACCAACAAGTACAGATTTAAACATCACCAAACGTCATCAAATAAAAACAACACTCTTCAACGGTATCAAAATAACTAAATTAACAATATCATAAAATATTTTGTCACAGACAGTACAAATGACACATAATTAGAAAATGAAAATCACTACCGCATGTGGTACACTACACTTCAGTCCTATAATGAATTAAGCAGCGCCATACAGCGGTCTCGTCCTAGGACTCATTAGTGATGTCCGGGGCTGAACCAAATCCATATATAATCATATCGAATGTAAACTTTTAATAAGACAACATCTGACATGTCATATTTAGGACGATTTTTGTGTGTGAATTTTCTACAAAACCTAACCGTCCTGTATTTTATCACCACAATCAATATTAATTCCGTAGAATTAATGAAGATTTGACAGCTGGCTTGTTTGTAACATGATGTATCTGTTTTATTCCAGATATTGCGTCAGACAGTAACGCAGCCACATTACGTAACAGAAAGAGGACAGCCAAAATGCTCATCCTGGTGGTGGTGTTGTTTTCTGTGTGTTACCTACCTGTTTACTTACTAAATATATTTAGGTAAAGTATGAATTGTTTTGTCATTGCCGTAATGTGACTATAATTGCCTGTTTATACACCATACAGCGCTGCAGTGATGGAATATGACGTGTCATGTTTATTTTTTCAATTTGATGATGTTGGGAAGTTGTAATATTATTTTACTGTTAAATGTGAAATGTGAAATCTATTTAGTTACAGGGCTAGTGCACCTCCCCGTCTAGATCTTGACTTTTCTTCCGATCACATTGGATTTTCTTAGTCGCCTCCAAGGTTTCAAAATTTAGGCCCTAAACATCAGTGACGTTCGCTGTTTGGTTCTGCTGTATCTAAAGGAGCCATTCACTTGTGTGTCTTGTGTAATCTTCTAAGTACTTAACAGATGATTATACAACGTAAAAGCAGACCGACTGAAGAATTCATAATGGAGCTTATTATCACCATTGGGTCGTAGGCTGTCGGGAGGGACTCGTTGGTATTCATGTATTTTGGCGAATTTTACCATCACTTCATTATAGTTCCAAACGACATGAGCTCCGGTTATTAGTGCGTCGGTGTCGCTGACCCAAACTTTTACTCTGAAGATCAATATCATAACCTACCTAGGAATGACCGTCGGTGACCTACATTTGCCATACGCCTCAGTTTTAACACCTAAATACTCTATTTACCTAAAATCTTGTGCCATAGTGTTATTTACGACGTCATACCAAACATATATATTAGATCTTATTCCTAATATCCATTATATTGCTTGTTAGTAGACATCGTAAACTACAACAAGAACTCTATTAACCCAGATCAAGTGACATGTTGTACACAACGTTGCCCACAAGCCACACAGACTATTCATTTCAATTAGACTTACATAGTGTTGACATAATGCATTTATGTTTTTAGTATTATTTTGATGTATAGATTATTTTGTTAATGTATTCAAGACAACTGTAATTAAGTCAAGCTAACATTTCATGGACAACCAATTTTTTGGTGCAAAAATATGGTCGAATTTTGACGGGAACTGGGAAACAGAACCAAAGACCATGTGATAAATGATATAATGGTTAGCGTTTATTTCCTGAATAGTTTTGTTTTAATGAAACGTTTGCTTTCTATAACGTTTCACGACGTCTTTATGTAGGAATTAAGTGAGAAATATTGTCCAATCCTTTGTTGACATTTACCGGTTCTCCTTGTCAGTCCCTTTGTACATGTCCTCCTTGTCACTCCCTGTTTACCGGTCCACCTTGTCACTCCCTTTGTACATATCCTCATTGTCACTCCCTGTGTACCAGTCCTCCTTGTCACTCCCTGTGTACATGTCCTCCTTGTCACTCCCAGTGTACATGTCCTCCTTGTCAGTCCCTTTGTACATGTCCTCCTTGTCACTCCCTGTTTACCGGTCCTCCTTGTCACTCCCTTTGTACATATCCTCATTGTCACTCCCTGTGTACATGTCCTCCTTGTCACTCCCTGTGTACATGTCCTCATTGTCACTCCCTTTGTACATGTCCTCCTTGTCACTCCCTATTTACTGGTCCCCCTTGTCACCCATGTTTACTGGTCCCCCTTGTCACCTCTGTTTACTGGTCCCCCTAGTCACTCCCTATTTACTGGTCCCCCTTGTCACCCATGTTTACTGGTCCCCCTTGCCACCTCTGTTTACTGGTCCCCTTGCCACCTCTGTTTACCGGTCCCCCTTGTCACCTCTGTTTACTGGTCCCCCTAGTCACCTCTGTTTACTGGTCCCCCTTGCCACCTCTGTTTACTGGTCCCCCTTGCCACCCCTGTTTACTGGTCCCCATTGTCACCTCTGTTTACCGACCTTCCTTGTCATTCCCTTTTAACATAATAATCCCCGTTATATAGGGTTAGTATTTAACCTCAGGTCGCGATATCGTTTGAGTAGCACATGCCATCATCACAATCGTATAAAATCTCATCTGTCTATAAGAACACTTATGACATGGAGTCATGCTGCAGTTGGCGGGATTCTCAGCACCACACAGGAGTTCATATCTGTCGGAACGGTCCATTAAATATAGCGATGACATGATCGAGACTATCCCTGTCTAAATACCTGACTCCATGTCAACATAATCTGACTGCTTTATATGGTATTCGTGCTTGTCACGTCCTAAGACCCACACTTTGTCTGCGACCCTGGTAAACATACCAATTTGTCTGTCTATCAGAAGATCTGTCCGCCGGAAGTCGTATAAGTCAAGGTCATTCTGACTTCGAAAAGATCGCGGATTATAGGCAGTTGGCCATGGACTCATTGAAACCTGCATCGTATATCATGATTTCCAGCAGGAAGTGACGTGTAGGGGTCTTGATACCTTATTTATAGTTAGTTTGGGTCAAAGATATTGACCGTTTGAAAGCTGTATATTACAATTGGTATGACAGAAGGAAAGATTATGTTAACAATTTTGCATGCGATTTAAAACTGATATGTTTTCCTATGTATGTTAAACTACATTAAATCAGAACATATAGACATCGGATAACTTTAAACATAATGTTGAGGCAAATAATTCGACACTCTTTTGATTTGAATGTGAAGTTTTCGCCATGACATGAATCTCTGCCAATCGAAGTGTACTAGATTACATACAGAAAGACAATGGTATTCAGAAAAAGGTATATACATTAAGGCACAATGTAATGCAAACTGAAGAATTTGTTACCTAAGATAATTATTCTGATCGAAGGAGAAAATATCTTATACTCGGCTAAAATAGTTGACCACTTTGACAACATAAATGTTAAACAAAGAAATTACACTCAGACGGAAACAAATCCAGTTCTAGCCCTAATGTTACTTAGTTTTAACGAACTGTATATAAGCTTTTACTGTGATTGCACTCATTTATTTACGAATAAGCATTGCATTCAATCTATAATTGTATAACCCATTTAAATAAAACGATAATATCAACGATACCCTTCAGAAGTGAATACATTACATTGATAAGTTGTTTAGGATATTCTTCTAAAATCTGTATGAAGTCATTCTTATTAATCCTTTTTGAAGCGTACTTGGATTGACAAATATTTACATGGCGGGTGTCGTCGATGAAGTAGAAGATGCTTACCCTTACGGAACACCTAGTCTTATTTCCTTTTGTTTTTTTCAGGAGTCTACGTCTTAATCTTTTTTTCGTTCATAATTTACTTTGTTTTATTGTATTTAGACCGGGATTATGTTTCGTTTGACATGTCGGTATTTTCTTTGATGCTCCTTTACGATTCTGTCTTCCCAGTATTTTATGGTTCCCCTGATAGGTTCTAGACCGTCCTTTGTTTTGTGGTCCACGTTATAAGGTCTGGGGTGTCCAGTTTTCTTTTTACTATGCCCCATATCTAGCTTGGATAACCCGTGATCCATGGTTCCATTGTAGAGATTGGATAATGCAGTGTTTTGTGGTGTCCGCTTTAGGGCCTAAATAATGCAGTGTTTTGTGGTGTCCGCTTTAGGGCGCAGATAATCCCAGGTTCTGTCAGTTTTCTAATGTACTCTACGATTTATTCCAGCCACATTCGTATTTTTTTTATTTTCTTTCTTTTCTCCTTTTTATTTCTTACGATTTCTTTGTTAGGATAGACTCTTTGGAAAGCCGTCGGTTTGAAGAGAAAGGGACTATTATGAATTCAATTCAGTTCAATTAATTAAAAAAGAGTTCTTGTTTATTGTTAAGACGAGGATTCTGGCCTCTATACACACCCTTTATGTGTGTAACGAAGCTGCCAAGTTTGTTAGCTTTGAAAGACACAATTTGCTTGCTGTCCCAATCAGGTTTGCACGTGCATAATGTACAAACGATGCGGTGGAACACAGCATAAGTAATCTGTTATAGATAAAACAAGCTTCAGAAGGGATCGAGGTAGGATTCGCATCCACCGATGTAATTAATGCTAAGATTGGTATCTTCTGTCTGCAACCTGATCACATATTTTTTTCATTTAGAGATGTCATTCGGACTGATGATAAAGAAATAACAAGGAAATAAATGATCGTCCCAATTGTTCGGGCAGTGAAAAGAGGGTGAATTTGACGTCATATGAAGATTGTCTTTTCTTTGAAATGCATTTGATGGAAGGTTAAAGAAAACACTTGTGTACATCTAACTATGACAATCAGATAACATTTTATATAACCTGGTCCGTTTTTTTTTTTTAGATATGCTCAGGTTATGCATAAATTACCTGAAATGACGACGTCCGTGTTGGCTCTCACGTCACGGTTCCTGTGTTATTTCAACAGTGCCGTTAATCCGGTGATCTACAACTTTATGAGTGGTAAGTTTTTCACGTGCTTGTGACAACGCATTCCAAGGCTACTGACGGAAAGTTATCACATACATGTACATTCGCTATGACAATTGTTTCCAAGACTAATAGCGAGAGTTATCGTGTGATACACTGTGACAAAAGTTTTCAAGGCTAATGACGGGAGTTATCACGTGATACGATGCGACAATGGTCTTGAAGGATACTGACGGGAGTTATCACGTGATACGATATGACAATAGTCTTCAAGACTACTGGCGGGAGTTATCATGTGATACGATGCAAAAATAACTTTCAAGGCTACTGAGACAATGGTCTTCAAGGCTACTGACGGGGGTTATCACGTGATACGCTGTGATAATGGTCTTCAAGGCTACTGACGGGGGTTATCCCGTGATACGCTGTGACAAAAGTTTTCAAGGCTAATGACGGGAGTTATCACGTGAGACGATGCGACAATGGTCTTGAAGGATACTGACGGGAGTTATCACGTGATACGATACGACAATGGTCTTCAAGACAACTGGCGGGAGTTATCGTGTGATACGATGCGACAATAACTTTCAAGGCTACTGAGACAATGGTCTTCAAGGCTACTGACGGGGGTTATCACGTGATACGCTGTGACAATGGTCTTCAAGGCTACTGACGAGGGTTATCACGTGATATGCTGTGACAATGGTCTTCAAGGCTACTGACGGGGGTTATCACGTGATACGCTGTGACAATGGTCTTCAAGGCTACTGACGAGGGTTATCATGTGATACGCTGTGACAATGGTCTTTAAGGCTACTGACGGGGGTTATCACGTGATACGCTGTGACAAAAGTTTTCAAGGCTAATGACGGGAGTTATCACGTGAGACGATGCGACAATGGTCTTGAAGGATACTGACGGGAGTTATCACGTGATACGATACGACAATGGTCTTCAAGACTACTGGCGGGAGTTATCGTGTGATACGATGCGACAATAACTTTCAAGGCTACTGAGACAATGGTCTTCAAGGCTACTGACGGGGGTTATCTCGTGATACGCTGTGACAATGGTCTTCAAGGCTACTGACGGGGGTTATCACGTGATATGCTGTGACAATGGTCTTCAAGGCTACTGACGGGGGTTATCACGTGATACGCTGTGACAATGGTCTTCAAGGCTACTGACGAGGGTTATCATGTGATACGCTGTGACAATGGTCTTTAAGGCTACTGAGGGGGTTATCACGTGATACGCTGTGATAATGGTCTTCAAGGCTACTGACGAGGGTTATCACGTGATAAGCTGTGACAATGGTCTTCAAGGCTACTGACCGTAAGTTTCAACGTCTGACGTAAATACGCTTACATTCCCTTGTATACTGGCGGTAAGTTTTAACTTTATACACTTTGACAAATAATACTTCTGGAGACATCTGTCTGTAAGATTACAAGTGCTGTGTAAACACATGCATGATGGACTGTGACACCTGTCTCTTATTCTGCGGTAGCGCAGAACGAAATCTCCGGCGGCGTTATGTTCTAAACATGAATGTGAACCAATAACATCTTTTTGTTCGTGATCAACACTGTCATATTGCTAACGTTATTAAAAAATATACGTGACTTCATCTGCTGTTCCATAGCACGATACTACTGCTGTTATCTAGTACTGACCAATAAATCCCCAAAACATACTAATATTTCTATATCAGACAATTTCATGGGAAAAAATCGCAAGTGTTAATGTTCTATAGAGCAAGCCATTGATTTCATAAAACAAGTAATATCAGGCGGCACACAATATCAAAGGCAGGACATTACATAGTGGGTAATATCAATATACTGCAGTATACCAGAACACATACGAAGGATATCGATACAGGCTGATCAATAAGGTTTGGGAAGTAATAAGCAGGTAACGATGAGAAATAGGACGTTTAAAGTTAACGATATTAACACAATACATAAAACTGAAGATTATGTCCTATACTGAACTGTAGTCGTCAAAACTAGTGAGACTGAAGTCATGTCATCTTGGTATTTAACATATTACATCTTAACTTCGTTAATATGATAGTTATGACTCAACTGGTAAGTTAAATATGAAATCAACTTCGGGTTTAAAAACGAAATCCCAGTAGAATTCAATTTCCTACGATAATTGGGATTCAGGACTACAGGCAAATTAACATGAAATGGATTGTAACTGAATTTTGTTTCGACTTGTGTTGTGAAAACATTCAATGAGCAAACACAATCAATATTTGAAAACGTCATTTTATCAGCTGGTTTTAGAAGAAACCATATAACATTATATTCAATATGTTGGCCTGTGTTATAGGGTCTTTTCTTTATCATAACACACGAAATGACGCTGACCAGAATTAGGTACAACGTCTATAGATTACTAGATGAAAACAACAAGACGGCCGGTAATTGTCGTTAAGTGTTCCACAGCTGGTTGTTGTTCCCTCGACGTTTGCCCATAATTGACTGTTCATAACTCTCATACTAATTTAATTCATACAGCGGTTTATACTTTTAGGTGATGTATTAAACTGCTGGCACGTTTTACTACTTAAACAGCAATTCGAGTGATACTTCATAGAGCTATTTAAGTAAAAGGAACGATTTGACTGCTAAAGAGTGCACGATAAAATCTCTAATCATAGCACCTTCATGAATTAGTATCTGAGGTTACTCTAATGAAGTACATTAACTAAAACACATATAACTGTTTGAAGATGTTTTAAGAGCTATCTCAGCCTCCCGACCTAACTCGCTCCTGATGTTTTTTGTGGCGGACATCAACACTATATATCTGTGTAACGCTGTGTGTTTCTGTACAGGAACACCTTGTCATTAGGCCGAGGTTCTAACTAATGACTAGCCTTTTCTTATGTTTTTAGAGAAATTTAAAAAGGAGTTCCGTGTAGTGTGCTGGTGCTGTGTAAAGCTTAATTATACACGAACTCAGCGTGGGATGAATGCCAGTAGGACACAAAACCATTCTTCCGAAGGTAGGTATCATGGTTTAGGTGATGATGTTTTCATATCTGTTCCAACTGAAGCTTAGACGTGATTGAAACTAGTTGTAATCCATGCTAGCCAAGTCTTTTACAAATATATCTATCTTCTTTATTTCCTTAGATAAGTTGTTCAGTATCTACTTATCAGACTACTGTCCATACGCTCTGGTAGTACAGTATGAAGAAACGACATTTTGTCACTTGCGTTCTCAAAAAAGTTATAATGCAGTCGAAACTCGTTATCTCGAACTCGATGGGACCATGGAGAAACTTCGAGATAACCGGATATTTGATTTAAGTGAGTCCGAATGTTTTTGTAAAGTTCGGCAGGGACCGTCGAAATGCTTCGCATTAAATGAGGTCTTTGAGTTATGCGAGTTCGAGATGACGAGATTTGACTGTAGCTATTAAAGTAACCATGTACATTTTCTTGTATTTGATATTTTGATGTTATACAACTTCCTTATTCACTCATTTAGTCCAAAAAATCTTATATTTTATAAATGTAAATCTGCTCACAAATGTAGCCCAAGACAATAATCTTTCATTTTCATTGCCCACAAATAGTGGGATTTTATTAATATCTTTTTAATTCATACCTATAACTAAACATTACTTTTATTTTAGGATTGCAGTCTCTTGTACTTACTCCTGTAGATTAAGAAGTATTTTATAAATGCAGCTATTACCTGTGCCACACTACCCTCGCTAGTATACAAACCAAATATGGGTCGCATTTCAACTTTAGCCTTTCCTCAGTTTTCAAACGTAGTGTTTGCTTTATATCTGTTAATTCCTACAGTTTCAATCAAAGAAATATAATACTTTTTGGTTTTAAAATATCACGTCATTACGATCACAAGAATGGAACTTTACAGCCGACATCTCCTTTTTTAAGAAGTGTAAGAAATGTCACTGTACGTTTCTTCTGTATTAAAACTTCATGCCTAAATTTCTTCTGTCAGTGTTGATCCTTAAATTTTAAACATACTTCACAAAAAGCATTGTAAGCATAGGACAAATACGATATTTTAATTACTTCGTGTAAAAGGAACTTGTATACCAGCAAGAAAAACAATTATGATCCGAAGACTTACAACGATTTATATTTTATCTAATCCATTTGGAAAAGGAACCCATTGTATTTCAGCTTGTATGTAAGTCATTGTTTAACTTAACAATTAAAGCATTATGTTTGTATGTAAATCAATACTTACCATTGATATATACAGATCTGTACCATAACCTAGTGATAAAAATATAGACAGGTGCCAAACTTACACATGCAAGATTTGGAATATTGCATTAACGGTATTCACTTGGACAGATATTGTTACTCGGGTATATTAAATGTACCAATTATGTATCCTATTTTCCAGATTACAAGCCATCAGAATTAGTTCGGCTATCATGTGTCTAGAAAGATGCAGTCTAAATGTGATTTTTATTAATTAAATTTCCATAACTTTAACAAACAATGGTAACACACATGTAAGTGCTCATTATATGCAGATGAAGCATAGTTTTATGTTGGTTTTGGATTTTTGTTTTGCCACGCTTCAGACCAGTCTGGGATGCCCCTCCGGAGGTACGAAACTATACAAAGCACCACCTCGTAGATTTATCTTCAGTTGTAAGCCGTCACAGCTCTTGTTGTGTCACGTTCTGAATCTGCATCTCTATATCTTATATCTTATATTGTCTTCACTCTCCTACATATCCCAGTGGTGTTCTTTCTTCCTCTATCCAGTCCTGCATTTCACTTATAAACAGGTTCACGTCACCCAATTTTTCATTATTTCATATTCCCTGCATGTCTGTATCAACGTTGTTCGACTAGAAAGTCTTTGGTCATGCGCGTTTTTTTATATGTATCAGTACCGTGCATATATACCCAGCTAACAGTTCATACAAGCAACCCGAAAAAAGTGTTCGCAACAATGCTCTTAGTGTCCGATGTAAACAAATTCTAATGACCGAGGTTCATATCGATTTTACCTTTTTAAATCGTGACACATGAGTTCATACTGTCCTTTCTAATCATGCATACTTTAATCACTTATTGATACGCATGAGAGCGCACAACACAGACTTTCAAACCCATGCTAACATTGATACAGGGGCGGGTCACAGTAAACTGGCTGAACATCATTTACCTAAGAGTAACTCTGTACCTTGACCTTCCTGAACATGCTGTCTAGATAACAAACAGGCTAGGAAAGTGCCCACAGTTAGACAGACACAACTGCTTGAAGAGAAGCACCACCCACTTCTAGAATCTGAGTAAGTACTGTCCTAACACCACGCCACGACCATAACGTGCAGCCATGCCCAGTAAGATCAAACCTATATAAATCTCACATTTCCCACGTTATCGTAGAAAAGAGGCGGAATTCGATGTTGTTGCATGTATGTGTAATTCGTCATCAAATATTTTCCATTTACATTTCTGTTATCATCCATTAATTCGTTCATTCATAGTTTGGTTTCTTAAATAAGCACGCAAACACAACTACCGAATGATATGCCAATAAAAAGACCGATGAACACGGAGATTTTCTTATTTCCTTTCTTGTGTTTCATCTAGAAATAGTTTTATGCTAAAACTTGATTAATGACAAATTACTAGATAAATAAATCTTGTATTGTGGGGGAAAATGAAATCAATTTATTTACCGAAATCGGATAATGATATCAACATTGTAGAAAATATAAACAAACACCTGATATTGGTTTATTGCTTTTACTACAGCGTACATCGTAACAAAAAAAGTAATCTCTACAAAGATGGCAGCCTGGACTTCTCTGAATCGAGGACGGAAATGACACGCCTAAAACCTTCCAATCATGGCTCACGAGTATGTAAAGACACCTACTACAACGGAAGTCCTGCCCATCACCCCACGTGATCGTCACGTGGATATGTTGTTTCTTTTGACTCTGGAACTGTAGAGTTCATCAGCACGGATATCTGGTTCGGTACGATTTTGACATGCTAAACATAGCGATGAAATATTCAATGTATTAGTTAATATATACGATGAACATTCATTTCTCCATCCATACCGGTCAAAGCAGATAGTTACTTCCTTGTTGTAACGTTTCTATATTGTTTCGTGATATTCAACGTTTGTGAAAATTAAACATGAAAAAGAACGACTTATTTTTTGTTTTCATTTCAAACTTGATGAAATATTTAGGATGTATCCTGGATAATGTGTTACTGTAAAGGGCTGCTATTTTCGAGGTTTCTTTTATGAGGATGGCATAAACCAAGAATAATTACATATATTTACATCTATCAAATTAATAATGATAAAAGACATCCATTTTATATTTATTTCAACAACATGCGACCCTTCTGCATTAACCTTTTGGCAAAAATGATAAGCATTAAATCATATCAAAAACAACAGCCTTCACAATACATGATATGATATATAGTAAGATAGTTTAAGGTTCTCATTACATTCAAATTGTGAAAGAAAATAACATGTTGCCTTAATTGTCTGACGTTCGATATAATCTCACGATTTTCGTCATGAACACAATCTTTGTGGGTTAAAACAATATTATTAGCAGATTTATCAATGGTGCTTACGAGATTGTAACTATATTTACACACCCATCGACAATTATTTATAATAGTTTTATTCCAAATCTTATCAAGATGGAAATCCCTATCCTGATTCCTCTTATCGGTACCTTTGATTCCATTATTTCACTACATATTGTATAAATGCATTATCCCTTTATTGTCATTGACTTAGCTGGCAGTTTACTCCCTCTTCATCCAGTAATCACTACAACATGACCTTGGACAAGATACAGACAATACGTAACCGAATAAGGAATACATCTACTATCATTATGAAGTGAATCTTCAGCCCAGGTCATTGCTGAATGTCCAGATTAGATGAAACAACTGGCTCTTACTATCAAACTCAAGGCCGTGTTCTACATTTGAAAAGGCCAGAGGAAGAAAAGGGAAAAATAAAAAAAGTTAAGTGAGTTCTCAGCTTTGTTTGGACAGCTGCTTGTGTAACTAATGCAAAAATGGACAAATTTAAACGTGATTTAAAGACAAAAAATCAATTAACAAGTTATCTTATAGCTCCGTATGTAGACAAAGTCGATATCCGATTGTCACCCAGTGTAAAGTGCGGAAGCCATTAGTCTCTCAAAAATACCAGATTGAATTGAATGTCTAATATTATGAAGCGCCGAATACATGAAAACTAATAACTTCTTTGTTGCAAGTGCAATGATATGTGATGCCGATGACTAAAAAGGATTATGATAATTCCTTAAACAGGCAGAAAAGAAGTAGTAATGCAGAGGCGAAGGTACGCCAACTTACATACCATCTATGGCACACTGACCGCAGCACTCACATAAGTTATTAATCAACCTATGTTTTTGATCTGTGAAGGAGTTTTTCTACCGAGAGGCATTACAGTTCCATATAAACGTATTTATAATCTAAACTTAAATTGAATAAAACTAGTGCTAAATATGAACAAAAAAAGAGATTTACATGAAGACTCCTGAAAAAGCTCGAGGAGAATATGTCCACGTGTTCTGGAAGAGTTACACGTCTTCACCGACAACACCCGCCGTGTAAATCTTGGTTAATCAAAGTAAGTATTTACTCAGTTGATTAGATCAATATGCTGTTATTGGGGAAAAGTACATACAAGAACATATAGATTATACAAAGGGATATCATTGTGCCTACAGATAAAACATTTAATAACTCGATCCTTCTTTGCAGACATGACTACATGCCCTTATACAAAACAAACTAGGTTAGCTCGATGATGTTGGAAACACCGCCTAAATATGTCCCGAATTTCCCAAATAAGAAATGCTAGCTAACCATGCTTAGGTATTACAATCATTCAGAATCCCATTGTTCATACAGGATTCCTAAATTTCACAAGAATCCATATAAACAACATTTTATTGTTGATTTGTATACTTAGTAGATCAACCGAATCTTAATCAAAACTATACAGAATCGTATCTGTTAAAATATACGAAGATAACGAAGAATTGTTAAAATGATCGAATTTCTTGTTGACAATATCTTTATAGAGTTTGGCGTTGAGATTATTGGAATTATTGCCTATTTCCACCATACATACCCACCTGAATTTTAACTTCGATCATTTTCCTACAACGAAATCAACATGGATATCGTTTTACCATAGTGACTATAAAGCGCTATGATTTCAATTTCTTTATTATAGATTTTCTATCCCTCGAGAACAACCTCCAAGAATCCCAACTTATAGTTTCCAGCCCACCGTCATCAGATGCGAAGGAATATTCATATTCCTCATCATTAAGAGAAAAGAATGGAAAGATCCAAGTTTCAAAGAGCAGATAAAAATCAAATAATGGTAGGAGCCAAGATCCCTCGTGTTTAATGTCGCTACTGATTTAGTATTCAAGGGCTTTTTCCTGAAATTAGGATCTGTTTGCAAAATGTGGGCAACAATTAGACATTATTTCTTTACAGAAAGACTATGTAATAATGCGATTAAACAACGCTGAACTAGTATTATAGATATTAGGAAGTAGTATATACACAAAAAAATAAGTGGACAATTGCTCGGCTGAACTGGTCAGCGTCTGTGGGTCCAATTAATTGACGTTCAATAATAGGCGGACAAATTTAAGTACAACAAATCAAACCAGTCGCAATGAAATCGCTGGGAGCAACAGTTCATCATGTTCTAACTTGATACTATTCTATTTAATGTTTTTTTTTATTTCAGTGTTGCCAATGATCTCACGCAGCTTCAGGTGTCTTTGCAACTATGTTTAGGTACACATAAGTCCTGTGTCACAGATAAATGACCAGCTGACGACAGTTTCAGTAATTTTCTTCACGCTCCAATTTTCCTGTGTATTCTTAATCGCGTTATCATCAATCAAACATACATCATACTTCTTAAATATACTACAATTGATTTTTGTCTCAAACAACTACTGTCAACGCTACTTTCAGTGTCAGCTTTCGTACTCCTGCGGAGAGGATGATTGTTTTTATTATCGTTTCATCTTATTTCATGTTTCTCTTATCCCATGTCATTATTGCGTGTTTGACTTTCTTTGTGTGTTTTCCAAAAGCAGCGGCACACTTTAACTACTGTATATTTTCTTGATTCGTTATTCACATTCATTTTTCATAACAATAGTATTGTTCTAGAACATAGCAAACAAACATCAAGTTGGCAAGTGTTACAAGGATTCTTAGTTTGCTATGATTGTATTTTCTTATAAAACCATTATTAATTTTCTTCATATTAGTAAAACACGAGATGTGTAATTAAGCTATGTAACCAATTTTCTTTCTTTTTCTTTTCTTTCTTTGTTTCTTTCTTTTTATATCACCTTTACAATAATACTCTTTGGTGTTACTTATCGGTATTGGTATTGTATACGTCTTGGTAATCGGTGCAGTTATCGTTCCTTATCTAGGTAATCAGTGTAGATATTATAACCTATCCAGGTAATAAGTACAGATATTGTTCCTTATCTAGGTATCTAGTGTAGATATCGTACCTTATCTAGGTAATCAATAAAAATGTCGTACCTTATCTAGGTAATCAATGAAGACGACGCACCTTATCTAGGTAATCAGTGAATATAGCGTGCCTTATCTAGGTAATCAGTGTAGATATAGTTCCTTACCTAGGTAATCAATGAAAATGTCGTACCTTATCTAGGTAATCAGTGAATATAGCGTACTTTATCTAGGTAAACAGCGTATAATAAACAAAGGACAACATGACCAGATTTGATGTATACATGTGTTGGAATCATGTATTATGCAATTTACATGTACACACACCTTTGGATATTTAGAAAAGTCCTTAAAAAGATAAATATAACAGAATACAAAACAATTAGGAGATAACAGCCATGATTTGTTTTCATACCATTTGCACAAACACTTTATTACATGTAAATGATTTATGATTCGTAGCTATGTATATGGAGTGCAAACAACTACTACGTTAGATCGCACAGGTTGTTAAATGTAGGAAATTACTGATTGCACCGCATGACGTAAACGTCTTACGCAATACTCTAGAAACCCTGGCGACAGCAACAAATCACTGGAAATCTAATAAGATTCAAATACTTTAATCTGGCATATGGTGAATTTAACTCGAGGCAGATATTGAAATTTCATTCCATTGTAGATAATTACAATAGAAATAATGAACAAAAATCAGCACGTGAAGCAATTAAAGTTGGACATTGATTTATAATAAACTTTAGATGAAATAAGTGTATTTCTTAATAATGGAACATTGTCTTTGATTTTGTGAGCCAGTAACGTTAGACATGTAGACAAAAACATAGCATGAATTATCTTTGATTGTACTTAAAAGAAGAGAAAACGATAATCAGCAAAAGATGAATATTACATAGAAAAACAATGTAAGTACGACGCATTAAACTTCCGCAGCAACCACACCAATTCCGGTAACGTCCGTCAACCACAGCAAGCAGCTAGCAGAATGAAAACAAGAACATAAAAAGCAAATTTGGAAAATGAAAGTTTTATTTGTATCACATTTAATGGACTATGAAATCGTGCAGTCCTGTAAATAGACTTTCAGATTGAGACAAAGGCATATTTTACGTGGAGATATGGTGACATGAGGACAAGGTCGGAAACTTTTTATTTTACCTAACGGCATTGTTTAACCGTGATTGATGGTACAATACCAAGATATCGGCCATACGTATGACTGAAGTCGCCCCTATCTTTGTAGTACCATCATATGGCATGCTTGTGTGATGCTAACGCTTAAAGCAGTGAAGCAGACTTGATGCCATTTAATTTTTATCTTAGATATAAAATATGGATGTTTGAATTTCAACATAACTGTGACAATAGGTTTAGTGATATTGTAATTTGCATTACATTTGCGTTTTAAAATGGTCAATAATGAACAATTTTATCACGACGACCTTTCAGAAAATCTCCTTTTGTGTATCCGACTGTTCATCAGCATGTTTTTCCTTGCAAATAATGAATGCTTTACTGGAAACTTTAAATTGCATCCCTTTAGTTGGTATATCAAAGAGGCGCCTTGTTCAGTGCTGAAGGGCTGTGTGTTTCCGTGTATTAGCTTCCTCCAGTGATCGACACAGTGAGGTGGATGTTCCCATCGGTAATACGAAAATGAACTGATGGAACCATACAGCATTATCATCGGATAACATCAAACTCTGTTCATGCCAGTCAATAAATCGCGGAGCAATTTGAGATTATATTAATTTCATCTCTGAGTCCCATAGCTCCGGAATGTGATTTTAAGATTGAGATGAACACGCATTGGAGAGGTTTATGATATTTTAGTATTCTCAACAAATATGTCACTAGCACTAAGAAATAATGAAATACTTGAATTAAGCCGATTTTTGTGTTACTTGTCATGAGAAGTTATATCTTTTAAAAAAGATTGTCTAGACACTCATATCGATAGCACCATTCAATACAAAATGGTAGGCACCTTAACATAAACGAAATGTGATTGAAATAAATCAAATTTGGTAAAATCAATGTTGAATGTAAATGGGGAGCTGTAGTTACCCCAATAAATTTCATGATTATTTATTACATATGATATTTGGAACTGTGCCACTATTGAATTAAACTGAGGAATGCCAAATGCTGAAGTCCGCCAGCGGAGTCTACCTTGCTGTCTCAAATGATTTTAATAGCTATATTAAAATCACTTTTCGAATTTTTCGAATATAATTGAAAACTTGTTAATAATGTGCATATGTATATATTAATGAATTGATCTTTTGATACACAACATCACGGGCCATGATACGTTATCCCTTATCTCTCAATTTAGTGGGAGCTCGTCAAGTTTTGTGTTCATTTCTCCCTTCCAGTACCACTTTTAAATGTATTGGTACCTAAAATTCATAATCTTGATTTTTGTCTTTGGTTTCTTTTTGTCTTACTTCTATTTCACTTTTATTTTTGTGACTTACTGGTTGCTTTGGTCAGTTTCTATCCTTTTGGGATGACTTCGTTATCTACTTCCTTCGTGTGTTTTTATATACTTTCTTTTATCTTGGAGCGTCTTCAGTACCTTCTCTTTATTCTCTTGTTTTTGTTATCATGTCATTTTTTCCTTTATTTTTTCGTTTTTTGTTTTCATTTGAGTTTGATTAATAACTCTTTTTACATGTTGAATTTGGCATGGTTCTCAGAGGGCGTTTATATACCAGGTGTTATTTGGAAATCGCCCAGTATTGAAAAGATTGTGTAAAAGATACACAACTGAATAACACGTTTTAATACAAATTAGGAATTAGATACAGTAGTGTATTTTTGTTTTTTCAATGATTAAATCTCTTAGACACTAGACACTGTACCCGAGGATAAGCGTATTCTGGACGCCAAGTTTTAATTCATTGGAACATTTGCTCGCGTCATAATATACAAGTGTATTTGATGCTAATCTATAATTATCTGATATATGACAATTTCGTGATTTAATAAATTATGGGGCCAGTGCACCTCCAACTCTAGAATTCGACTTTTCTTTCAATTATTTCAATCAACCTTTTAGGCTTCAAAATTTTAGGCCCTTAGCATCATCCTAGAAGGACAAAACAGCTACATGTATAAGATGCAGTGTAATTTATTGTTTGGCTCTTCTGTATCTCAATATAAACTTCTATTAAATAACACCGATTGCTGTTATTTTGATTGTTTTTCATTACCGTATTCGAATCGGATGTAAGCGGATTATTTCTGAAAGAAAAGACGCCAGGTCTGACAAGACATTCAAAACCACAATGCTATCCCTTCAAGGCTTTTTATCATTCTTTTTTTCGTGTATATAGATAGAGAGACTGGGGGGGGAGCGTTTTCTGCTAATATTCAGTATTCTATTTGCCTTTTTAAACATACGAAGGCTGATTAATAATTTGTGAGCCATGTATTTGAAGAAGTAGGGATGTCCTTTATCAGCTCTATCAGTTACTGATTATTTAATTCTGTGTACCCGAAGACATGTGTAACTTGGTCTGTTGATGTCAAAGAGGTAGCACTCGAAAGTAAACAAGGCAAATGACTTTTGCTAGATGAACAAAATGCTGAAAAAGATGTGATCCATTATTTACATTAGGTATAGCATTTAAGGACATTTACGTTGAAGAAACAACAAGGAATGATGTCCCTTCACATGCTTCCGTGAAAAGTTGAATGGCGGAATTATAGCTTAGAAGGCAGAGCCTTGGGGATGATGCCCGTCCTTTAAGGACTGTCACTGTTGCAACCCCAGAAGTAGTCAATGGTATTGTTATGACTTCTGACAGTTGACCAGAAGCACACCGGACGGATTTTGGCGCGTGCTAATCTGAAACATTCAGTGGCAGATCCTAGATTTCTGTGACCATGAAGGAAACAGTCTAAACAATGGAAACACCCTGGTTCTTCTCCACCATAGAAGGCAAAGACTGTTCCATCAGCTTGAAATGTTATGGCCTCAGTTTTCTGTTTATGTTATTCTGAAGGTAGATTATCTGCAAAAATGACCAACAATAAACAATGATGACGTCATACATACAGTGGAGGACTTTCAGAAGACGACGTATTTAAAAGTGGCATTGAAGCCTTTAAACATCGCTGGCATAATTCATAGAAACTGAAGGAGATTATGTTGAAAAATAGTGCAATATATTCGCCAAAAGCCAAACACTTAAATATGAGGTTCACAACTTATCAATCAAACTTAGTATTAAGTCCATTGTCGAATCTATGAAGAAATTTTATTTCTCCTCCGGCTAACTTCAAAACGGCAATCTTCTTAGCTGGTAGAGCGCCGTCCCCATATATTTTGTGTTATGTATGCAGGTTCAATATCTCCTACTAACAGTCATGTTAATGAGAAGGCAAATTTGATTTTTTCGCATAATTTTATGTATGGATATATGCTACATAACGACACTTTATATTTTTCTTTGTCCTCTTGCAATGTGAGAAACGTCACCTTGCTCTAGTTTATAAATTAATGTAGGTATTTGAATGAAAAAAAATTAAATCAGAAGTGCTGATGTTGAGGTAAGACTCTCATTATTTTGTGTCATATATGAGTTTTCAGGGGAGATTGCTAAATCACTTTTAAGTCAAAAATGTGAGTCAGCAGACAACATTAAACCGAATTTCTATAGACATGTGATAATGTGAAGCTAGCACATGTTTTTCCAAAAAACAATCTCCTTGATCAATAATTGTACAACAAAACAAAAGTATAAGAGATAAATAATATACTTGTCATAACAACGTAGTAACATGGATAGATTTCCTGAGATGTATCAACAAATCACCAATGCACTGATAGAAACGCAATCTATATATATTCGTTGCTCCTTCAAGAATTTCATTGACGTTTTCAGTTCCGGATAAAACAGTTTAAGTAGTCACAGCACAGGTGATAGTATAGGTAAATAACTAATATAGGTCATGATATGACATTATTTGTGATAGGTGCTAAAAGCAGACCTATCTGAATCACTGATCACTGATAACAAATTTAAAACGACATGAAAATTAAATATATATATAAATATATATGATAAATCATATTCACATTTAAACCAGTGGGTTAGTTCTTCTCACAGCAGCACCCACTACTCTCAGTGAAAATCTACAGCACCAGACACGGGAATGATTAACACTCGAAAGTTGTATTAATAAGGTTCAGTTCATGTTAATGTAACATATAAAAAGAATGAAAAACCTCTGATAAAATGTAGAAGAATGGCTCGATATGCAGACAGGGTTTCACATACATAACCGCTCAAAATTCAGACTTATTAATTCTTCTGTATGAGATTGTTTTCATATATAACTCAGAATGAAAAATATGTCATAAATACTTGCAAGATCGAAAAATTTGTCGCTCGATAGAATTATCACTGGAAATCAGACAAAGGTACAAAAGAATACTAAATAAAATTTTATATATGCACCATTTCACCGGATATTTTCTTTTTACGTATGTTATAATTAACCATATAGATAAAAAAAGTCACATTTAAGGCCCTTGAAACATTCACAAAACGCAGACATCAATAGGTCTGCCAGTGTCTCTTACAACAGCTACCCATATTTAAATACCATTATTTAATTCATTGAAATAATCACACACTTTCAGTCAAATCATTACACACGCAGGTGCCCGAAAATGCTATATTTAGTGAAATTATGTTCCCTGTCCATTCTGACGATTAATTTCTATTACTAGTATTACTATACTTGCATGACGTAATGGTTTACAAATGTTTATCAGTTCAATCGCTTTTAGTGTCATAGAAAATTTTGGATAGGGCAATATATTTACAAAAACGAGAAGCAGTCTAGTGCAAATCCGTAAAGACTTATTACATAATTAACACTGGCACATAAAAAATCAATATACACCATACGTTGTCAAATGTGAGTTAGCGAGTCAATAAGAAAAACAGTATTACATAGGTACATCCAAACCAATAGGATCATTTTAAAGAAGTTATTGTAGCATAAAAGTTCTCATAACACAACTAGTTAAAGATTTAAGTGTGAAGTTTCGATGACTACACGTTCACCTCCATCAGACAGACAAATGACAAGTGTGGAGCGTACAAGTAGTGTTTGAGAAGGTGTTGACATTACCAACCCGAGATAAAAATAATTGGTGTTACACAAAAATGTTAAGGAACTTTTTAAAAATATTTCATATAGATCTTTCTAATACAGATATTTGTGTATTCAATTGAGTTCATAGCATCTATTATTTCCTAACTTGATAATTAAACAACGTCTGTAATCTTGTTAAGCATCAGGATTAATAATACGGTACAGCTCTTCCACATCGTCCTTACAAATATCATGTTCCGTTTTACTTATTTCTGCCAGGGTTGTCGTTCGTTAATTTTCCCAATGCACTCTGCTAAAGAATTATGTTTCACATCTAACACGTATCCACGTGTCACGTGTTCCACACAAATCGGAGTTCATCTGACCAATTTGCATTCCGGTTAGGAGCATAAGAGCGTTTGTGATAAAACCTCGAGAAGGCGTCTCGGAGTTTCTTTTTCGTATCTCGATCAGGGTTTGTAGTAAGCTTAATTCTGAAACATAAAGAATATTCATTAACAAATGACATATGATATATTGTACAAAGGTATAAGCATACTCTTAAACATCAGTGAATTTTTTGCTATTCAAGATACTTTGCGTAAACAATTTGAATTCGGCAAAGTATTATGAAAATGAGTAGCTTGCTTTTTCATCTAACCCTGACTTCCGATTTAAAGTATCCCGAAATCAAGCAATACCTTTAAAACAAATACCAACATTCACACTTCAATCACACCCAGGCACAATCATATAACCAAATTAAACTCATACACCCTTATCCACAGAAGTCCAACCCACAAAACACTTGTGGTGGCTAATATCGCATGCCGAGAACAACCAACGAGTTATATTGATAATTTCCTATCATAGTAAGTCTCTGTGGCACAAAATGTGCAAAAGTTACCCTCTAGCCGGGAACGTAAACGGACTGATAATTCATCGATTTGGTTTTTTGTTTACCAGGGACTGTCTCTGAGGCTTTATATTTATCAAGGAATGTTTCAAAAAATGTACGGGACTATCTCGTTGATGATTCTTGGAATATCAATATTCTTTACATAGACACAATGAACCAAAAATTCATTTTTCATGATCAAGATAATAGTCATATATAACACGAGAGATAACAAAACAAAGTATTTTGTTTCCGTATAAGAACACGTCAGAAGTATATATCGCTCCAGCCTAATAAACAAAAATGAATAAAAGTGCATTTAAAAAGGAAAAAAATTTTTCCATGTGTGCTACGACCAGATAAACAAATTAAATTAAAAGTGAATATCATGTTTTTTTTTACTACGCGGTTATAACACTTTTCCAACCACCTACAAATATTTATGTATCTAGGATATTTTTATCACCACATACTCCACACCACAAAACAGAAACCAGTACAGCTAACTAGAACAAATCCAGGACTGACAAAATGGTGATTCTACAAAGTGAACATGCATCTACGTCATCGCCACCAAATGTGCTCGTGCTATTTACATGGCAATCGCAAATATTGATTATTATGTAATATATGCATTATAATATAATCCTTAGTATTGTATTCAACAATCACCACCTTGTTATTATTCAAATGTCAAATCTGTCAAATTTGAAAGAGAAATAGTCTTCTGTAAAATTAGATTTCTGAGAGATATTATAAACAGCAACTTATGGAAACATGAATGTCTAAACAACTAAAATGAGCCCTGAATTATTGAGAACTGGTCGGTTGTATCCAGCTCATCATTTGCAGCAAAAACACATTAACAACAATAACTAATTTATAATTACTTTGAGCAAATTATGCAAAATGGTTACCCTAACAATAGTGGTTATTTTCAATGTATGAGCAAAACTATTAATTACATAACAACAACACCTATTAAAACTAATTTACTATTGTGGTTAATCCAATTATTACTTCTATACAATATATACCCTTCTTAAAGCACTGAGGATTCTGAGTTGAATTATATGACAGACATCACAGAAATATACCAAACGAAATATCACGGCAAGGGTCAGGAATCCTCAGGCAATACAATCGGTATGCATTAACAGGCACTATGAACAACTAAAAGAAGTAATGATCAAATTGGATTTAATAGAACCAAATGCCTGATGTACATGTATAAACTGAAATATGTTTTTTTTCTGACAATGGTATAGCCAGCCATAATATCAGGTAATGGGCCCTAACTACCACGTGCCCTATAATTCGTGTTAGTGTTTATCCCTCTAGGTGCTTCTGTCTGGTCTGCTAACATGTTTACATAATACAACTAGACAACATTTAGCAAACTCCACTTTTTTTCCTACACTAATGGTGATTTAGTGTTTCACTGCACTATCAACATTTCAGTTAGGAAACGCATGCAAAGCGGCAGGATAGTTAGGTGTAGTCATTAAACTTTCAAAATCATGGGGAAAAAGCAAAATAATCTCACAAAGACCGAGACACCGTGTATGATTACGTCACTACTCTTACTTCCCAATGGTTGTAGCACGTTGGAGTTTCTGCTTGAATTCCTGTTTTATTTCAATATCAATTCCGCCGATACTAACTTCAAGAGTGGTCGTCCTGTGGTGACATAGTAAATAAAAGGGCGACCGTCAGTTAGTGTAGTTAGCACCTGTAACCATGGGAATCGTACTGAAAAGTTTTGTACATACTGGCCATCCCTATACTTACCACTGAACATGCATAACGGCATTTACAAAGATAATGGCTATTCAACGCTAACCACGTCATCACGTCCTAGGGGTACAAAAATCTAATGACAGTTAGGTATGTACTTGAAATAGGACAGGTGGTCATTATCTTACATAACATCGCCGCGAATGCTATACTTATTCTGTGGGAATTTAACGAAGCTTAAAATAATGACAGCCTTTAAATCACAAGGATTGTCTATTAAATGGCATCCATTGCCTTTTTCCTCTTTATATCACAAGACTGTCGACTTTACTAAACCTTATCACCTTTTTACCTCTAAGGCTTTTAATATATCTGTACAACGGTAAGTATTACAGCTGTTATACATTAATAAGAACGATCCAAATTTTTCCTCAACATCATAAACTCACTGGTAATTATCTACTTCTTGGGATTGCCAACTTAATTTAGCTTTAATACGTTTAAGTTCTAGATTGTACGGTATGGTCTACTTGCCAAATGACATACATGGAACGGACTTTCCAACTTACGTGTTCTAATACAGTAGTGTTGTACCAAGCACTACGACTGAATCACGCTAAGAGATAACCTGGCTGTAAGAGCATTGTATCTGTATTGTATGACAGAGATACGGTAGTCTAACGTCTAAAAATATCTGATGATATTATTTTCATATTTCTACCGCAGGTTTCGTACTAAAATATGACAGTTTCTATATGCTGATTTTCTCTCAATTACTGTGAATGTTGCCAAATAGTAATAACGTACAAGTTGATCCCTACAAATTAAATACGTTTTCAATATTATTTAGCTGGTGAATTATAGTACTGCATTCCATTTAATCGGTATTTAACAGGTATAATCTTAGTTAAGAAGACATAAACCTCAACAAAATATCGATATTTCAATTGAATATTGGTTCAAACTCAAATTCGATGAAACTATGGCAAAATATGAACAAAGGAAAAATTTACACGAAGACTCCTAAAATGACGAGGACAATAAGATAGGTGTTACTGAAGAGTAAGCGTCTACTGCGTCATCAACGACACTCCTCATGTGCATTTGACTTACATACGTGACGTTCCCATGCCAATCATGCATCCCTTATTTTATCATATCTATCTCCTATACAATATTTGTTGTTAGAGGCACATGCATATCTCAATTAGGGCTGCATAAAATACGTTACAATCAATTAAGCAAATGTCTATATATTGTATATACACACGTCACGCATGTACTTAGCTTATATATAGGTCAACTTAATGTAAGTAGGCGATACAATCTTAAAACAGGCATGGGTACAATAATAATGTAGGCAAACAACATTTAGAGCCAAGTATGTTTATGCTGGTTGAATAGAGAAGCAACTGTGTTATGCTTATCTTGCAGATGCAAGACACTTAACATTGTATTGAAACAATTACTGAGGATTCGACTTTCAATTGTACACAGATTCGATTTAATATTTTCTCAAGCGATTTCTTCGTTCGACATGAAAAGATTGACTGTTGAAGACGATATTATGTTTTTTTATGAATAAACATTAGCATCAAACATTTACGTCAGTAAAGTGCAATGTCTTTGCAAATGCACCTGTATCTATAAAAGAAAACAATAATTACTGGTAAATCTGTTTATCTGTTAGTTGTGAGCTTGAAATAAAAGTGACATCAGTCACACAAACGTGATGGCAATGTGAAAATAGGGAAAACAATTGTAATCATGTCATACTCCGGTTTCTTTTCCGTTTTCCTCTTCCTGCGTACTGCAAGCGTAGGCATCTTGGGCAAGAATGACCTGATTCAACAAATCATACTATATGAACACCAGCTTACCCACATCTGTCATCTAATCCAGCGTAACAGAAATTTCCATGGCATAATTGAATAGATTACTGGAGTTTTATTGGGGACTATGGTAAAACATTCAATTACAACATCGATCACATTCGTCATGTTTCATTAGCGAGTCGTAATGCTGAAGATTGTGTGAGTACAACAGTACAAGCTATCAAACCAATGTACAGTTATGAATATGTTGTTGATACATCGTAACTAAGCGGAATCATTTCTGATATCGATATGGAAATGTTTAATGCATCTAAATTGACAAATAACTAATACGCCATTAAACTTCTTACGATACCAACGAGTCATACTTTGGTGTATCTTTGATATGTGATGAATAATATACACAAATCGCATAATGGTTATGATGAATGTCCCAAGAGGAAACCGACTGAAACTTTGGCTGTAGTGTAATAGGATTGGTGGGCCAGAACAGACGCACCATTTCCATCCTCTGGTTTTACGCCACCTCCCGAGACAGTTTACATGATTGTGAGACCAATTAGCGTATAAATACGCTAAATTAGCTTTTAAAATTCAGTGCTATCATTTCAATATCGAAATGGATAACGCGCTCTTCACACAAATATGAAAATAGTATGCATAGCCTTTCCATGTAGTTGAGATGTTGTCGCTGAGGCATACACGTAAATAAAAGCACAATGTCATATTTGAAAAACGTACTTAGCGTTTACAGTCATGTTATCTATTGCACAAAGACAAAAAATAAACTGGATATTACATTAGGATAATATAAATTGATAATTTTCTTTCTGAAAATAAATATGTTCATATTTAGAATTAAATTTCAAGACACGCAATCATACTTAGTTGCAAGTACTGAAAAACATAATAGAATATGTTCGACCGATATGACATTTACTTCCAGTTTGTGATTAAAATTTATTTACTTAATTTTACGATTAATGTGCCCGCAACTTCTCATTTATAATGTACTTCACGAAAAGAGTCCATAACAGCTGATAGGGGTCTATAGTTCGCAACATTATTTCCCGCTATTCAGCAAAACAAATTCCTATACCGTTAGAGGAATCACTGGTCACATTAAACAGTACCTTGCTCATGCAATAAAATCTAAACAACATTCAGATGTGGCCAATATTATCATTCGACGCAATTAAAATCGCCAAAAGGACATACAGCTTTATTATACATTAATCTTTTCGGTGAAAAATTTGATATAATTTGTCTGGCTGCTACAGGCATTTTTTATTGCGATATCATAGAAACGAAACCACACATGACCGGGAAGTTGGCCAATGATTCGTCAATTCGAGGTAGTTACATATACTTTTTTTTAACTAGTTGCTAAAAGTGAAAATACGTATTCTTTTTGGCCGTAAAGTAACTTGATAATCTGATGTATACAACATATATCATCATATAGCAACACTCTCAATTTACTCACCCAGAAGGGAGGCCCTCCTTTGGTTTCGACTGAGTGAGTCGCGTGCGCGCCTCGTGCGTGGACGGAATAATGTTGGATGCTGAATGAGGGTAAAGATCCTAAAAATGAACACAAACACCATTGCGATAACTAATAAAATTTCTTTTTCTCTCTAGATACATGATTACATTAAACTATATTCTTGCGAAGTCAAGTATCATTTTTGTGTCAGAAATATCGTTTTTTAAGGTTTTCACGGGAACAGAACAGGTTTCTATCATATTCATTCATAAACTGATACTTGATGTATCTGATGTATAAACGCTTAAATGATAAACAAATACAAAAATTCAACTTTTTTTAATTTTAGAAGAAGGTTATACCGTCAATGAAATGTATGCATTTTTTCATGTGGATTGCAATGGTGTGACAAGAGGAAGAACTAGTCACGTACAGAGGTAACCCTTAGGTGTTAAGAAAGATTTTCGAAAGGACGGTTAAAATATCGTGCTATACAGCTAATGAAGCTAAGTGTAACAGGTGGTTACGACGCTGTGGTCAATCCTCCTGATACTGACCACATGTGGCATAGTTTTACGGTTGCTAGTGTCTTGAGATGACTTCGATTGACGGAAGGGACCGGAACACAGAGTCTGAAAGAAACAAAATCAATCATACGATTTAAATGATAAAAGAAACTTGCCGTGGTTCCTCATTGGACAGTATTGATCAAGTATCATATCAAGGTCACACACATATTGTTGTATTGTTACAAATACAGTGACGCTAAATCTGCTTGAGGGACAACGATAAATCTTAACGTGGATAACACCGGAACTTTTAACTATATATAGAAATGTTATTTGCAGTTGAATTCATATTCCAAGCTTTTTATTGAAGACGAATACAAATAAAGACAATTATAGAATGAAAGCCTTTTTGGGACTAGGAATATTTGCAATATTGTAGTTGTTAAATTGCGGGAAAATAACACAATAACAAAACATGACTAATAGATCGGTGAACAAGTTGCATGCATTGTAATCAAGTGGTTTAGGCTAGATTAGTGTTATTGTGAATACATTCATAGTAAACACCCAGGCAACTCTGAAGGTAGAAACCTTATTCTTTAACGATACAATATAGAACATTCTACCTTCAGGCCTTTATTTGCTACAGCTGCATGATACAGTATAATTCATTATTTGTCTTCAATGTAACGTTGTACTAAGATATCAATTGAAATTATATTGTCAATAATTGCTGATTTGTTTGATAAAGTCAATGATATTTCCTTTCTCTTGTTCTTTTTAAGGTTTTCAAGATAGTTTTTCTCACCATATTATAATTGATGTTCATGTATTCTTATGGTTTTAAACATTGGTGCGTAATAGACTAGAATTTATTACAACACAACCAGTAGAAGATTAGAGTGTGACGTTTCGATGACCACATGGTCACCTTCATCAGACAAATGACCAGTGTGCAGCGTACTATCACAGACGTACGTAATGTACGAGATGGTAAGGAATCGATCAGGTTTTTTTGCTGATCTATGGAAAAAACATAACATTGATCGATTTTTGTATACTACGTTTCTCTGATGACGGTTTCCTGTTGGTTGGGTTATAAAAACTAATATTCTGTTCACATTACCAACCTGAAGAAAACGTTCCAAAATAGTACTGATTGAAATGCTTTATATAAAGCACTAGCCCCATAATTGAATTGCACAACATCAAGTAAATGGCATCATGGCATGCAAGTTACATACTAAGTAATGTGTTTTTCACTCATGTTGTACTTGGTATAACGAAGACATCATTTTTTGGAAACGAGACAAAATATAGAATTCATAATACTCGGATAGGGAATTTTTTTATCTTACATACATAAAAATGTTATGGAGTTTGTATCATAGCAATCATCATACCTGACTGCTGTACTTCGCCCCGCTAATGTGTTAAGTAACCACCAATGATATTAAATATCACTATTACAAGGCATTCTGGCATTAAAAAAAACAACACTTTTTTCACGAAATCTGTACATAATATGAAAGATCACACTGAGATTTTTCAAACAGCTGTAAATGAATCATGTGAGACTCTGCTAATAGGTTTTTAAATTCAAACAGGTGGAGAGATATTGACTGCATCATTACCATCACATGGTATTATAATTGAATATTTTCTTACTATGTGATAATGTCTAATGTCATTGAAAACGATGACTTGCGTAAAAAAAGAAAAAGATAAAACGTTTTTTAAACAAGAGGCCCAGAGGGCATGTATCGCTGACCTGGGTATTTAAGTCAATACTGCAAGATTCTACATTTCTTTTGAAGGAAAACATTTCCCCCGATGTGCCTCGCCCCACAGATACAGTTTCAAATTCCCTAGAGGTGAAGACAGAAATCAGTTGTTAATCTCTTGATGTCCAGCAATGCTATCAAGTTATGGGATAGTTATTTCAATTTCGAAGATATAATCTGTCCTGGGGTAAGACTAGATCCCAGGACAGATTATCAGTTATGATGCTCAGCAATGTTATAGTTATTCAGTGGGGATCACAACTGTTTCAAAGAACCAAATATTCAAATAAATTCTTGGTGGTGTAAAGCAATGATATAAAAAATGATTTTTCCTTCTTGGGCCTCGCCCATCTTGCACCAAATGGCCGAAACCCACCGTTTGTACAAAACTGATTTCCTTTACCTATGCATGCCTCAGACCAAATCTGGACAATATCCTGCAATTGCTACAGAGCCAGATAGATGTTAAAGATATTGGTAGATTTTCCCTATTGGGCCCCGCTCCTCTGGCCTCAAGGCGGCTTAGACACACCATTTATACAAAACTGATTACCCTTCACCCAAGCAAGCTTCAGGCCTAAAGCACAAGATAAATTTTAAAGAAATCGATTGATTTTTCTTTATGGGAAACGCACAGGGAGGGAGGGCACCAATTAAGCAAAACTTTCCCAAATGATGTTGATTAAAATCCACTCAGTAGTTCATGAATAGTTGCAATATATATTAAAAAAGTTGATAGAAGACGGACGACGACGACGGCCGTCGTGGTGTCCCCAGGAACTACTAAAAATCACAAAATTTTGGTAGTATTTCATATCAATCACTACGGAGAGAAATCGACACTTTTACGCTATATCGCCCTCTAGAAGAAGTCGATTGTACGACCTCTAAATTGTTTCTAGAAACTAGAATATCTGCATATTTGATGCCATGTCTTTCTTCTGCTTACACGTAAGCAACACCAAGCCATCATGTCTACTCAGACCAAAGGACGAGAATCTCTCAAAGCGATCACAAAGATTCTTCTATCAAATTGACAACGGCATACTCAAATGAGGCCGGAAGATGAGAATGCATCAAAACAGATCACTAAGATTATTTAAACAAATTGTTTAAAGATATAACTTTTATTCCATCATCGGACATAGCTAAAATAGAACCTGTCAACGATAACAAAAGTCACATTTGATTAATGAACGTATCATATATGTAAACTGAATTTATATTAAGTGTTCATTTATCTATAAAAACAGTTTTATTTTGAGTTCATTAAAGTTTAAATTCCTGTCTGATTTTAAGAGTAGTCTGTTAAATGACTTCCGATTAAAATCGATACCATTTGCTTCATGATTTTTGCAAAACTGCGAAAAATTGTACGGACGATAAAAAACTTATTTTATCAGACCAAGTCGATAACATTTCTTCATTTTTATTGTTATAATTCATTTTTATGTCAGTAGATATCGATCTTGCTTCGTACACTGTCCCAAGCTGTAAAGTGCTTGTAATGTTTCATTCTACGTATATAGAGTATTCACATTTCCCTATGAATTAACGATTAGATGTGAAACTTTTACAATTTACATTAATGTTAACAAAATGAAAGCTATACGTTTTCAGCATTCAGAGTTGTCTTTCTTCTCTTATCCGAAAAGAGTCAAAATCTAATATTACATATGGTGGTTTATGAACACAACATTTCCTTTACAATTGGTTTGTTATCAGAGTTGTCGATCTTTAATCACTATCCGCATATATTTAGGATCTTAAATCAGTTTTTATTTCATATGAGGTTTTAAGAAAAGACTCTTAAAAGTTTTTCTTTTTAGCGATCCTTGATGAGGAAAAATTAAAAGTATGCACCGAGTTCCATGTGCTCACGTACAATGGAAACAAGTTAATAATGCTTATTATCAAACAACTCGAGAAAAGATACATTTTGTCAGGTTTTAAAGTCAAAGTATGAATGAAAAAATCAAACGGTGGCCGTGATTTTGTAGCGCGATTTCCAGTTCATGACGTGTTGCCATTGTTCATTTTATGGCACCAAAATCACTTTCTGACCAGTGACATATGCAAATATACTACATGGGCAAATTTACTGGATAACAGGTCATCTATGTGATGAATTAGTATAGCATACCACTATATAATTAGTAATTAAAACACTTACATTGCTTTTATTTATAGAATAATAATCGAGAGAGGCGTCGTCCATGTTGACCAGTCTAGGAGTGTCTTCCTGTTCACAAGCTGCATTCGCCACGGAAGGAGACGGTTCTGCATGCGTCGTGGATGACGCAGACTTAATATGGAAATGATCCGCCATTGGAAGTAGTTCTCCAATTGGCATACACACTGTCGTATGAGATCGTTGTAAATCAAATATACCGGCGTGAGTTTTCCGTAAAACATCTCCTGGAGCAAGCTTATTAGAGTCAATCGTAATCTTTTGCGAAGGTCGGGATTGCGGTCGGTGCTGTGGACACTTGAGTTCCGGACTAGAAATATTGACGGGATAATGTTCCCTATCTGTGCTATGTTCGTGTAAAGTTGTATACGATCTATGTAATTGTTTCTGAAGATCAAACACAGTTTCGTGTGTTCCTTCTCCTTCTGAATTCTGTATACTGATCTTACGTAATACTATAGCCGATGGTCGGTCCTCGGATACTGCCGAACTGTCGGTCTTATTTCCTATAATGGTATGTGAACGTTCTAACTTTTTGCGAATTCTGCTATTTTCCTTCGATTCGTCTATACACTGTTTAGATTGCCTATACGTATCACCATAAGTTTTCTGATCAGCACCATTACGCGGGTCATCGTCGAAGTGCTCGGCAATCACATGTCGAGGCGTTAGGTGAGTATATGAGAACTTAGCCACGCGCTGACCGTTCCTGCACTCACGCGTAAAATCCTGTTGATACCGACCATTGGACGTCCCACACTGATTTATGATTAAAGGCGTATCGAATAATTTTATTTCTTTTTCCTCGCTTGGCGTCTTTGAATCGTAGCCTTCGTCTTCATCTTCATCATATATGGCGTCGTCTTTTGAAGCATACTTTCGGGAGTAATAGAGCATCCTTCGCATTGTGGGCGATCTTTCCTCTCCAATGTCAGTTACCGATCTCGTAAAGCCGAACGGCACTTCAGTCCTTGGAAGAGTTTGAACAGCGTAACCGCTTTCTTTGTAAGGCACCTCGAGATCGTCCCGCGTTTTGGGTCTATCCGCCTCGTTGGATCTAATAGAACCTGCCGTTCGTATCCGTGGGGCACGTGCGCTCTTTTTGCGAATTGTTCCATCTGGCAGTGTTGCATTTGTGCTAGGACTAGAATCAATCGGCGGTTTTTCTTCGCTAATAATCTTTTTGAAGAAATGTTCGTGCAAGCTCTCTTTCTCGAATAAATCGGTGTCCTCGAACCCAGTACATCTTCGTTTTGGCAAATGTTTGTAAGCTGCATGCTCTGGTACATGTTTGAGTTTCCCTACAAATCAAAACACAATTCTCAAAGTTACATAATATTTGTAAATGCTTTTTACACAAATGCCGTTTTAACGTATTCCTGTTAATTTCCCTGACATGAAAATTTGGTCAACTATTCGCAATCAATTACATCAACGCTTTACAAGGTGTACCAGGGTCATTATTCTCTTAGATAGCAGATAGCAGATTTTCTACGATAGATTTTCTTTAAAACATCAAAGTACAATATTGTCCACAAAGTATAATGCCATTTCGTATTGAACATTTTTCTTTTTCAGTCACGTTTTATAAACCGAACGAATGTCGCTATGACCGAAAATCGCGCATCTACAACCTGTGTCTTCACCATAATAAACATGTAGTCCATTCATTGGTAATAAAGTTTTTAATTTATATAATATACATGACTAGTAAAAATCAATTTATGTTGGATCATATTCAGAGACACTACTTCTGCTAAACTCATGAACAAATCTGAAAAATATCCTTTAAATTCAAAAACGTATTTGCCAATAGTAGGAATATCCAAAGATCGTCTACAAATAAGATAATGTTCTGGACATATGGTGTGAAAGGACAGAGTATAGATGCACAAGAAAAGTTGAAGGTTGGTTGAAAATTTGAAATTGTATTGATGTTTGGATAGGAATTAGAAATGATTCTTTTATGTGGACATAAAGAGGAAAGTGGATAAAGCATCATAAATGGCATTAAGGTTTTAATAGTGATTAAAAATAATATATACCTTTTTTATTTTTAAAATCGATTTTTGTATAGATTTGTATTCAGTTATATCAAAAATGATGTTCATGATGAATCATTGATGTTTTCATTATATTACATACTTTATCTTATTTTGCATCAGTCATATACAAATCCTTTAATTAATTATACATGATTTGAATACATAACCTTCTTTTAATTGTTTTTATTTCCTTTCGTCACCTATTGGATGAATTTATGAAGCTAAAAATGACGGCAAAATAACAACGGTTTGTCATTAAAGCTGATGTAGGCGTGACTGGAGCTGTAACAGTGACCATTTAAGCGTGTGTTTAAAAATGTCTACTTTTTTTACGTCCTCTATGTATGTTTTTATAATGATTACTCAAATGGAAAAACATAACTCATTTCTGTATTCTGAAAACATGTTCTTAGCAAAGATTATCTATGGTAAGCTATCTGAAAAAAGTAAATTCGTATATTTACAAGTTTAAAACCAGTCGACCTCATGCAAAGTCAATCCAAAGTCTCGTATTACTATATAGTCTCCAGTCAGTAATCGTCACGGATTACGTTTAATTCCAGTCATTGTACAATAGTATTAGTGTCGGATCACGAGCTTTACCGCGACGTTCGAACATCTGAACCAGTACACTATTCAACCTTGCTTTGAGTTTTAATCGGTATGTCATGCAACCTTTTTTTAATGTGGCAGATCCTACATCCTTACCTATCGTGACATTCGTGGATCTGAACCTGTAGGTCCGACAACCTTACTTACCCTGTCGTGCGTGGATATGAACCTGTAGGTCCGACAACCTTACTTACCCTGTCGTGCGTGGATCTGAAAATGTAGGTCCGAGAACCTTACTTACCGTGACGTTCGTGAATCTGAACCTGTAGGTCCGACAACCTTACTTACCCTGTCGTGCGTGGATATGAACCTGTAGGTCCGACAACCATACTTACGTGACGTTCGTGGATCTTAAACGGCAGCTCTGAGTTCCTTACTTACCCTGTCGTTCGTGGATCTGAACCTGTAGGTTACTCCAAGTCTCTATTCCTGTAACATAACAAAGGGGAATTTGTTCACGTGTGTACCAGAGTTGAACGTGTTTATGTTGTGTGTCGTGCACGCAATTTATATCAAGAAGGCGATGCTCTGATGAAATACCTCTCTAGATGTTATCAATGCCGTAGAATACAGTCTGTGACCAAAGTATTTCCAACCAAAGTTCACTTAAAAACTAGTCCAAGTAATTAAGACGATCGGGCGTCAAACAGAAGGTCGCTCATAACATCTTGGCACGAAACCTGGTGATATTTTTCGTGATTTCGTTAATCGCCCAGCTTAGAGGTCATAGTATCAGTAAATAAAATAACAAACAGTAAGGGTTTTTTGTCACATTCTTTTGGTACCTTATAAAAACACTATATATCATTATCTTATTATACAAAGCATCAAAACCAGACATTTAGATTTAACTGCTTAGAAACAAGTCGTAAAAAGTAACCTTTCTATGGTTTTATATTGCTTAACGTCTTACAAGTGTGTTAAAAGCTACGCGTTTGGTCATAAAGGTACAAGTACCTGAAGTAATCAACTCCTGTTTTATCGACAACACTTGCCATGTCCATCTCAAACAAGTCAAGTTACAAGGTATGTCAACATCCCAAAACAAACAAGAAAACAGCAACAAGTAAACAGCTAATAAACTAAAGGAGAATGTAAATAAAAGAAATATTTTCATGGAAATGCCTGAAAAGGGTGCAAGTAACAACTGATAACAAAGAAATTATCAAGGAAATAAACGAAAACGTTGAACCTCATATCAAGAACAAAAAATATTCATCGTTAGAGTAGTAGCTAACAATATCTTATTATTAGCAATACCGTTATAATTAAATGTTGTGTATGACGTCATTAACACCATCGACCATCACCCATTAAATGAATTCAATACGTGTATATGACTGAAGCCTAAACATCCATTATTTGGAAGTGTTTGAAAGATGATATGACATTTGCATGCTTCTAGGAATCTTATATCACACAATTTTTAAACAACAGAAAACAAGAGAACCTTTTTTCTAAATCTCCTTCAAATCAGGCAAATTTTGGCCCTGTATATTTTCCTAGTGTGATGATTGTGTGACATTATTTATTAATGGTGTTATGTCATTTCAGGTCTTGATATCATCATGTGTATACCACAGACCTATACATGACATAACAAAGTTGTGATGTGATCCCATTAAAAATAAAGCACTTTGTGTTCCAAGGAGTATCACCTTACCTGGTGAATGGCTAGTGATATCGTCCACTTCCCAGCCGCATAGTTTCTGTGGCTTTGGTGGTTTCCTCCTGAAGAGAAGAGAACAAACATTTAGTCAAATGTTATACATTGGTGTTACAGCTAAAAATAAAAGATGCTTCCTATCGTCATAGGGCATTCAAAGACGGATTTCGGAGGCGAACGGGACTGGATAGATGTCAATTCAGGGAAGAAGTAAAGTTGGCACACTTGTAGCAATATCTGAAATTATTAATAAGAAGATGTCCTTTCCTGAAATTAGGGGGGGTTAACATGGATCATTGACATTATTCAAGTATGCAATGTTAAAGCGATGGAAATAACCAGAATCTAATATCTAGGTCTTATATCAATCCCTTTACCCGAAGTATGAACAGTTTCTTGGACAAACCAAACGATAGCATAGCATAACTTTAATCTATTATCGTCCTCTTTAGACGTAAGTAATTGTATAGGAACATTGAATAACAAAGGAAGCACGCGACACGCAAGGAAAGACGACATCGTTCAGAAATCAATACGAACAACTGTTTGTACATTTTCCTTTAGAACTGCATGACAATAAACGAAAATGGATATTCAAAATTATATTTCTACCACCATGTGGTGTATTGTTAACATGCAATTGTGAGATAAATCTATAGGATAAACCTTGAATTTTCATTTATTCAGATAGAAATGTTACAAAAAAGAGATTGATATGGAATAAAGAAATAAAGGTTATTGTCATATATCAGGTTGTTACAGTAGTTTGACAAGATAATACATAAAACAGAGACAAAATATGTAAGACAGAATGTTACTGAGTAACCCAGGAGTCCCAATTTAGAAGCCAGCGTGAACTAAGGTGGAATAACTAAACCAAGAATGTCTAGTTATACACAGGTTTATTACCAGGGACATACAGATCTGATCAACAAGTGATATTATTGAATCATTCCAATATGCCGGGTCCCTTTATCTTGTAAACTTCTTAATATTTACTTCAAGGAATTCAAGTCTAAAACAATAACTGATAGTGATTTCATCACTAGATTGAGTTGTACATACGCCATATAATGACGAGACTAGTTCAACATCATGGAACGTTGTGGACCCAGGCATAGACATATACCAAACTGTTCCGTGATATTCTGTATTACTTATCATGGAAGGGTATAATAATATATCCAAATACGAAGAAATATAGTGAAATCGAACCACCACACAAACCTCGAGGCACTATGTCTACTTAGTGACCCAATCACCATGACCGCTTTGTAAAAAATAATTTTAAGTCGTCTCTGAATCTATTAAGAAACATTAATCGGTATGCACGTACCATACTGTAATATGACCGCTTTGATCTTCCATAACTAAAATTATTATTAATTTACATGGCCATAAATAGTATGAAACATTAGCAATTAGTTTAGAAACGTCACGACTTATCTGACCGTGGTAAACTGGTGTTAGGCTGCTACAGTATGTACGGTAATATATTATATGTTGATTAAGGATTCCTATGAGATTAAGTCCTAAAGTGGCGATATGTGCTACCAGTCCATACATAAGTGTGGATAACACCCCGGACACGGCTGACATATCGATATTAGATCGTATTACATACAGACAATGGGGTAGTGGAATAAATCACCTGGGTACACAATTATCTAGTCACACACAAGTGTTCGCTGTGATAAGGACCAGTACTATCCTACTGAAATCAGGATCAATCGACGTCGATTAGGGATTCACCTGCTTTATTGAATACTTTGAGTGATAATGTAGGATACGTAGCGATTTCCGATCACAGGTTAAGTTTTAAGATCCTAACACACTTTTCTTTGGTGACAAAAATGAAACATGAATGTAGGAATTCGTTTGACAGATTTTTTAACGTTGAAACAATTGGATGTTTCTTTCACGTCAAAAACTTTAGAATTACATGACAAAGATATACGGTTGTATATTTTAAACAGATGCATCGATAAGTTTTATCGCATATTGTACGTAGCATTGTTTAACCAACACAACTACAGTCCAGTAGACTAACGTTATGCATATATTGATATGTATATACCTTAGCCCATACAAAAGACCGAAACGTCTCATCCTTATAGACTTCAAATATAAAAATAAAACCACTTCATTGATTTTGACAACGTGTTTTACTGTATTCATTAGCAAACTTGTGCTACCTTAAGTATTCATTAACAGTCTTACCAGGTTCACTGATCGATAAATCGTTCTTCCTAACATGTGAGGTTATTCAAATGCATATTAGGTTCTTTTTATTGGGGAAAATTATGTGGGGTTGTGACCCATCGATCATGCTCAATTCACTGTGTATGTAATTCTCTTTACATCGACGAAAACTCTTTACAGGCTATAGCACACACCACTTAAGACCACAGATGTAATATACATAACGATATCTTTGTAAACGGAGAAGACAAAAATATATAGACACAACCTGCACTTAAGTATATAACAATACTGTCACTCAAGAGAAGATGTTACCACATTGATATTACTACAGAGAATGCACTTTTCATCGCTTGACATACTATTTACATTTGGTTAAATAATTCATTCGGAACACTAAACTTTCTCTAACCTGTTCGATGTTTCAGATACAAAAGACAAATTAGCAAAATCTTAATCAAATTTATAAGGAGATCCTAAAATAAGAGATATATAGAACCATGTGTTCCAAAGATGTCAGCGTCTTCTTTTCTTCATTATCAAACCCAAAAGGAAATGCCGCATGCCCAAATGAGAATCGGACTTTATACCAACAGAGGTACGAGGCATACTAACGAGCATTGAACACTTATAACTTCATTTCTCTCTACAAAATAGAATATTTCCAAATGAGACCATGATAGTGATCATAAGACATCCTTGTTTTCTTAACTAACATCTCTCACTACCTGATGTTGACGTAGTCAGTTAGGTGTCTTAAACGGAAATACGATATAGGGAACAAGCACTTGGATAAAAAATCAACAGGTCATCAATATTGGTGGGGAAGTAGAAAAGTCACTATCTAGAAATGGAAATTTCACAATAGGAAAATCGATATCACCCTGCTAATTCCGTTAAATTTAAAATAAAACATCAACGTTTATTTTTGCCACTTGTTTTACGTAATTCGTGAACATCTACCTCTAAAACAAACCTATATTTATCAAGATTAAGTACGTCTATGGCGACATAAGGCCTTAAGGTTAAGATGTATGCATACATAATTCCAAGAGTTATGAGGATCACTCTACAAGAATAGGACGATATCATGACGGAGAATAAATGCTGCTCATCAACACGTGGAATATGTCCGTGTACACAGATCAATATGATTTTCTCTAGAGCAATGTAAATCAGGACCTAGCCTATCTTTGAGAGTATTGTCCCACTACTGATCTGAACGGTCATCTACGTATACGGTAAGATAGACACCCGGAGTCAAACATAGAGGTAAGCCTGGGTATTCACCTTCAAACACAATCAATAAACCAGTAAGTCTTGTCACAATATTAACCCGCAGCGTGAGGCTTACGACAAACAAAGACAACCGTGTTAGGGAAAACGACGAGGTTTCCATTTAAGATAACGTGTGTTATATATCATAATATACAAACATGTGTAAAAGGCGTTCCGTCTAAATAATGATACTGTTTGATTTTATTGACCAAAGTGATAATTTACAACAATTCTTTGAAATACACCCTGTACCAATAACTTAACCGTGGAGCAATAAAGCAAATCCGAGTGTAAAGCCTAGGTACACTAGCTTGTAAAGGAAGAAAATGTTCAGTAATTTAAGCCACCATCAATGCATAAACGGAAAAAACATACAACGATATAACCTTAGTAAGACACAGCAACAGAGGGACTTAAAACATAATGAAGTATTGCATAGGGTTCTATAGAACGATACCATTCGGTAATTACTATATTAAACTGTTAGAGTGTTTTCTGTGTCTTAACTTGATATTCAACTGGTGACGTATAGTTATTTTTACAGACCGTAATATTATTCACTTTTTAATACAACCTCGTTAAACTTACATGATGAGTATATGTATCAGTCAATCAATTACCTAGTTACGTGACGCATAGTCTTATCAAGAGTACATCTATGTGAAAGAACGTGGTATATGAATACTAATCTTTTCATCGGTCTTTCAACTTGAAACAAAAAAGGCTCGCATATTGTGTAATACTTTACTCAGTTCACATCAGACTTCTTACTTTACTTTTATTAAAGATATTGTAGCTCAAACTATTTACTTTTTTCCATATGAAAATGCAATTTTATTTATAATTTTATTAAACTAATATCCATAAGACCATAACAAATTCTAATTTCGATGGTATTTTATGTCCCTTGATCGCATTGCGTGTCCTCTGATCGCGTTAACGGCGATCACACGACATCCCTATCTGAAGTAGGGTTACCTATAATTGGTGGTAAGCGCATGCTAATCGATTCAATAGAATTTAAATCGGGCGATCAGAGATCAACCTAATCGTGTTACGTCACCTAGCGATCGACACAATGGGCCACAGTTAAATGCGTCCTTCCGCTCGACTACTAGTCAGTGATGTATTACAATTCCGATTTCATCTCTGACGTACTGGCCGAGTCTGGTAGTCGGTTTGATATGGTTATACAACTTATGGGACAGACGTATTTATTTTGGTATTTAAACATTTTGTGTCACGGTATACTGTAGTACAAACCCGCTTTTTGTCTAAACAATGACTCTCATCAACAACACACCTTCAGAGTAATCGAATAATGATGAATCCATAATGGGCGCAGTTTTTGCAATATCATCACACAGTTGAAATGTTATGTCACATCTCTCAGTCAGATCTATTGCAAACGTGTTAAAATGAAATACATTAACGATAGCTTGTCAATATTTCGACACCGATATTACACCCATTGTGTATCAGATAATACCACGAGATCACTTTGTAACTTACCGATGTTAAGGAGAATGGTAAACATCTGATTGAAAGCAATACTTAACAGAAGGGAGTCATTGAATTCTTTGAGAGTGCCATGCTCCCCTGGTCGGTAACAACATTGTGTGTTACAATGTTGTGACTAGAGTAGACGTGTGCCTAACACCTGCAACAATGAATCATCTACCGTGGGTTTGTATCCATCAACATTTAGGACTAAAATATATTCAGAATGACATAGATCGTAAATCATTCCTGATTTCTTGCAAGAAAATCAGTTTGATACATAGTTGTATAATGGACAAGCGTTTTTGCGATATCTACGTGATGTGACTATGTTATATCTCTGTAGAATGGTAATTGTGTTACTGAATAGCGTTACTCTGTGGGTTACTAGGGACCTATCGTGGAACAGTTTAGGGTGTCTGGTAGTTGGCAAGTCGACACCTCTTTCACACTGGGACTCGGCCAAGCAGTACATTAACGATGGATGATATCGTCTGTCATGTTAATTACGAGTGTCGACTTGGCCAATTTAAATCGTCGTTAATCACTCCGTCATATATGTATATTGTAGAGATACCAACGGAAAATTCAAATAACCATAACATTACGGCTGTTACTAAGAGTCATTACATGACGTCTTAAGGATTGTACAAAACCCCATAGAATAAACAATCAAGTAAGACATAAGATATATCCCAATTATCGGACCTACAGTGTGAAATATAGCAAAACAGCACAAAAAAACAACAAAATATAACAAAACAAACAAAACCGATACAAGATAGAGTTGAGGTGGGATATTGGATAATTTAGGAGTAACATGTAAATTGGTTATTGAAAACTTGTGGACAGAACAATCCATTTCATGGAGTTCCTAACCGTAACACTAATTAAACTACATGAACAAAGTTAATGATATATGTTAGGAATACATCTATGTTTGGGGGCATTTAAGAGACTCGAGTCATAGCTTATCGTCCATCTATCTTAAAATAACACCTATTACATTTAGTTTATGGTTTAAAACTTACATTTAACAACATAATTGCACTAGTATGAATTAATTACCTAAAAGTTGCGGTTTTTTTTATGTCTATATTGAAAATTTATCATTTAAGGCTAGTCGTATGTATATACATGTACAACTTATTTGACAGGAACAGACAAAATTATATTTCCAAGTGTACTATTTTATTGAATATCTAAATATATAGTCATAGCTCATAACATTTACACCTGTATTTTAAAGAGGAAATTACACTTATCAGTGTTGATGTGTATTTCATTAGAGTAATATATCTCTAGAAAAGAAATCAATATTTTCTCATAAAACTCCACAAAACTAGTTTCAACCGCACAAAACGACATAAAAAGTTCAAGTACTGCTAGGAAGATATACAACGAGAACACGTGATCTTAGGATGTGGTTAAAAGCAGCACAATTCCCTATATAGCGATATTGATTCAAACTCGTCCCAATATCGAATGAACAATGATCTTAAACCATATTTTGTACTGTACTCTCATTTAAACGAAGATAAACATTAATGATATCCCAAACGTGAACCGATCAGCTGTGTGTCTGTCCTTATCTATATAATACCTTTACTTAAACACTGTAAACATATCACCGTGTCTTGAACAATGCATCGTCAATACTCAAGGAATCACACTCACTATCACTATCTTCACCCCTGGAACCTTTCACATCAAAACTAAAGGCTCCATAGGCGACACCTTGTGGACAGGACGAGATTAGTTAAATCTGTGTTGCTTCTCACTAATCTTCAAATGAGCGTACCAGTCTGTGATTGATAACGATTTTTTTTTACCTGAAACCCGCTTCAGATCAATCACATTATTTCGCTTGTGCCTTCAGTTTTGTTAGGAAATGCACCAAGGGTGCAGAGAGCGAAAGTGATCGTAATCCCTAGAGTATCGAGGATGTAAACAGTGAACAACAATTAAAGATGTATAACGCAACGATAAACAACAAATTATGTAATCGAAATACGACCAAAACCCCAACAGAAGCAGAATGGCTTCATTAATCCTATAATGTGAGGGAGATCCAGAAAAGATGTAATAACTGTATGTAGCTAATGCCCTAATATAGTTAGGACTTTAAATAAACATATCGATATTGAAATCTGAATGCGCCAGGAAATTCTGCCATTTGGTTAGACTTATCAATAGTAAACCTTTGCAATCCTATTTTGTAAAATCAAGAGTCGTCTTGAAAAAAAACATTTTTGAATGAAACATTAACCACAATACTACATGAACAATTCTTTTGTTTTGATAAAATCGAAACATATACTTGTGGTCTTTGCAGTCAACCTTGTTCTTATTTGAGAACGTGACATTACTTACTCGGAATGACCAATGTTTCCATTGCCAATGTCTTCAATGAAGAAGATACATAAACTTCTTCTCATTGTACTTGTTAAATATTGATTGGTCACTCTGTAATTTATTTTTATTTTGTTCATGTTTTAGCCTCGTTTCGTCAATTTTGAGTTTACATACAATTTTGTTAAAATCTTTGTTATCTTAAAGATACTTGACAATTACGTGTGTATATAAGGGGCAGGGTCAGAAGATGGACATAAACGTTTGGTGTTACTCAGGAGCAGAGGGAAAACATTATAGGGTAGAGATGTGGTTACCATATTAGTTATAACTTGGAGTGATGGAAAGTTGTAATAACAGTTGTCATAAATAAGTGATAACTTGAAGTGACGGAAAATAATAACTGCGGTTGACAGAGAGTAATTCACAACTTGGATGGGAGAAAAGTGAAAGAAATATATATCACAAGATAAGGTATATCTTGGTGTGGAAGAAAACAATAACATTTCTCAAAAGAAAACTGATCACTCGGATTGAAGGAAATTGTTTTCAGAGAGTAAGTAATAACTTGGAGAAGGACACGTTATAGTAACAACTGTCACAAAAAATAAGTTTTAATCTGGAGTAGAAGAAAGTTATATCAAATATTGCTGCGATCAGTTGGGCAAGGAAATGAACAGAAGATTGTCAAGCTGAACAATCTGAACAATAATGATTAAGCGTGTTTAACTACGTTAAGCTAAAATAAATAATAGTTCAGTGTACAATACGTACAGTTATTACAGTTGATCAGGTAAACGATACGACAGACCTAAATAAATCCTTCACACGATATCGTTTCCGACACCTATCTCCATAAATATCTTTAAAATTGTAACAATTCTAATGCTTATGAACTAATGCCAAATTGAAACACATCACGTAGTAGTTAATAAAATCTAGGTATAACAAAAACAGCGTACATGACAAATAGGCAAACAGCACATTTTTATACAATTCATAATTAGCTACAGAATAGCCAAATAGTGATCGATCCAATATCACTCGATAACACTGTATGATAAAGAGAATATCATACTTGCATCAGTCGTTGCTGGTTATGGGAAATGAGCATATGACACAGACGGTATGCAGCAGACTGTGTTACGGGATATATCTGTACTATAAGGTAGGACACACACTACACCGACAGGATCACCATGTGTTTTGTAGCAGTGATCACTGTGATAGTAGTATCTTTGGTGTTATCCGAGTACCCTTGTCCATTATCTATTGATTTATCTGATTGATTGGCAGATATAAACGTGTGAATCAAACATAAAACAGGAATCGTTTAAATACCCATTGATATATCACTCAATACTCATTACATACCCAGAAACATCAGGGAACTACTTTAACTTATTTGGAACCGGAACACCTTTCTACTGTCAGATATCGATTTTTTATACTCACGGGGCCAAGGGCTTTCCTGTTACCGGATTCCTGAATGAAAACTGCCTGGCCATATCATGTGGTGACAATCCCTCATCCTTATAAGGGAATAAACCAGGCTGATTGTAACAAACACTAAAAATTGATGAGACAGGTCCGAGACATCCAGAATGAGCTAGCCGTGCCTGCTAGTGTGGAAGGGAATTGCTACCACTTAGAATTGTCAGAGTGGTGGATGGCGAGGCACGATCAGTGGCCAATACATAGTATCGACAGGTGAATCAATCAGAGTATTTATACACCAAGTATTGACTGGCAGTGGTAGTGTAAATACATAATCCTCCAGTTAATAGGTAAAGTCTTCAGCGCTGTTCAACTTTTGGAGTAGAGTATTGTACGTGGGTACACAGTCAGTATGGCCCATTGAGGGTACTTTATCGCCGGGTGCTCAGTGAGCCGGGGATTACTGGGAGGGGGCGTGGCCGCGTGACGACACCACTCACACACATATATAACACATCAGAATCAAAGATATGCTTGTTCCTTTTGTTGTTATAGACCAACATAAAGACATGCTAATTGAAACAACTAGTGCTGCCAATTGTACCCAGTGAGACGGAATAGAATCGGTTACTGGCCAGAGATCTCTCAAGCGCGACACCGTTAGGGAAGATGTTTAAACAGTGTACTAGGACCAACATTTACGTGACCGCGTAACACTTTAATTCTAAAGGGTCTTTTCTAAATCTACAATAGCCTTTTCAAGGTTATAAATTCCAATTTCTACTTCTTTCACTTGCAGTAATTATTTACTGAATACAATAATAATTGGATCATATTCAAGTCAAATTACCATACGGTTCAATGCATTACAGGACAAATACACATCGTGTCAACAAAACAGTGTCCATACTCAAGTTCCGTATAACTGAATCTTAATTGAAATTGAAGAAGCGAACCAGTAAAGGCACATACAAAGTTTCACACCTAATAGGTATGGTCTCAAATATGCGAACAGACGACGATTCAACTCATTAAACCACAAACAAGGCAACATATTACCCGTCACTATCAGTATTAAAAGATAAGTAATGTAGTATATATACGATTTCTGAAGAGTTTGAATCAATTTTCGTCATAACCAAAACCAAAACCAACCAAAACCATAGAAATTCATTTCGTTTATAATGTAACAATATTCCATGGATGTTGTCGTCACTGGCCGACACTCAGTTACCAGTAAAATGAATATGGTTCGATGGAGAAAGTAGATTTTTCGGTCGTTCTATCTTATATCTTGTCTTAACCAACAGAGGTTATGAGAAGACTTAATGTATTTATTAAAAATGACATGGGAGACTGGTTTGGACCACGTAGGGTGTTTGGTATCGCATCCAATTTAACAGCAAATAAAGGAGTCTGTGGTATAGAGATTGAACAAAATGTTTTATGGATGTTCTACTTACCTTTTGATCGCCATCCTTGTAGATCCCTAGACAAAAGAATAGAGTACCATCCATGATACGCTTGTCAGTTCAACACTTCGCCACACAAGTCATTGTCCTAACATCTGTAAAGGGGAAAGGAGAGTTCTTACATCTGATACCAACATTTTGTGACGTTAAGTGTGTCACTGCTACAGCAACTTCCATGTCTGATGTCCAACTGTTACTAATACAGGTCTTTTCTCTTCTGAAACCATTAAACTACAATATAACGATACTGGTTCTGTCACTTTTGACTATAATGATACAGGAGGGTTAGTACCGTCCAGTCTGATGCTGATACAGGTATTTTCGACTGAAAGCAGGAAAAACATTGATATATGTACTTTCCGGTTTACGTTTGGAGGCGTGTCATTCCGTCGGCCACTGGTAAATGAATTTTGAGGAGGGTACTTACTGGTTTTCACTAGGCTTACTGTCCGGTCTGAAACCAGACTGCAGAAGGTACTTCCTCGTCTGATAGCAGGAGAAACTGGGAAACTACGGTAAGTATAATCCCGACTGAAACTGAAGAGTACTCTCTCGTCCAACAGCAGGTGTGTAAATATCACGTCCAACAGATACAGATGTATTATAACGTGTGGGACAGGAACACCTGTGAGGTATGACACCCTGTCGTGTATATCGTGACAGCGAAAGGCTAAAGAATCATTGATATAATTGTCTGTTAGATTTAAAGGTATATCGACACCTTCCACGGCTGATTACTAACACACCAGGATTCAATTATACGTTTACAAATACTTCAAACAGCATGGAGCTATCTCAGCTGACTTTATACAAACACTCCAAACTAATCTGGACGGCTTTTTCTGTTTCACTAATGTCAAATATATATCAATATAGCTTTGTTTGTGTCCATGTACATACCTTACTAACACAATTCTTTGATTCTGCCCGCGATTTTTCATCGGAGGACTTTGTTTAGGACATAGTGATTTGATATTTTTATAACACATTACATGTTTTGGTCTCTTTCGGCACAAATCTGATAGATGTCACCAACTTCAACAATCGCCGTGATAAGTTTGTTAACCGTTCACACGATCTTGTAAACGTGTAAACGTTATCGTAGTGACACTAGTATGCTGTATCTAGGAAATAGTGTCCGATTGCAATGCTTAACTTTACAAAATAAAATGTACAGGTGAATGTCTAGAAACAATATCTGGTCAAAATCTTGTATGATAGGGTCACGTGCAGTATACTAATTATTTATAGCTTTATTTATGGCGAAGAGTTCATAAGTCGCTAGAACTTGTCTCTGCTAGTGATAATAAAACATGTTTAAATCAAATATCGTATATAAACTATAAATAGAACAGTTCTTCACATCAGGAAATAGGACAGAAAATAACGCAACTGTCTAAGACTATAAACAGTTTTAGAGAAAACTGAGTAACATCTTATCATAAATACTTATTGTACTCAAGTTTTACTCAGAAAGGTATATACTGTATGTAGAGAAATGATGTACCGTGCCAATGTAGATTTACTCAGAAAGGTATATTATGTTAAAAATGTATGTAGAGAAATGATACAGGGTACCAACGTAGATTCACAGCACAATAATGTACAGATTTCAAGTAAAACTGTTATTTCTAATGAATTAATGATACCATTTACAGCAATACTGAAGCATGCCACCATAGACTCTGACCGCCGGTAGACCTTCTTATCAGGTCATGTTGGTCGTTGTGAAGAGGTAACCATATGATCAGTCAATACTCCGATATACAACCTGTTTTTCTCGGCCCGAGAAACGTTTTATCTATTATGTTGGAATTATCAAAATCTTTTCAACAACATGCTTCCGACTTTATTTAGAATAAGGAGAATTCACAGCATTATGCTATTTCATTACGACAATTGCAGGTGTATTGTTCTAACACAGAATGCGTTCGGGTGAAGACAGGTTGAGCGATATTGATTTCTTCAATGAAAACATTGTTCTTTTAGCAAGAAAAGATTTCATTAATAACAAGGAGCTTTACATCTACACGTTGGATTTCCTTTTGGTGATATGTCTTACTAAGTTATAATCATACTCGCCTTATCGAATACAAGCTTTCTATATGTATCGGAAGACAAGAACACAGCAAGAAAACAAAACCAAAATTTAAAAAAAACAAAAGTAACAAGCATATTACTGATGATATACTGTATATCAAGTTGGACAACTCTCGCACCAAAGTAAACATTTTGAACAACAAGTTCGGTATTTACCATAGATAGACTGAGATATAGCATGTTAGTCCATGCCCCAGGAAGGACTAGCACCATTTTCCCGACAGAGGAGTCGAACCCTACTGCTCAATGTCCAGGAGTCGAACCCTAGTGCGCAATGTCCAGGAGTCGAACCCTAGTGCTCAAGGAGTCGAACCCTACTGCTCAATGTCCAGGAGTCGAACTCTACTGCCCAAGGAGTCGAACCCTACTGCTCAATGTCCTGGAGTCGAACCCTACTGCTCAATGTCCAGGAGTCGAACTCTACTGCTCAATGTCCAGGAGTCGAACTCTACTGCTCAATGTCCTGGAGTCGAACCCTACTGCTCAATGTCCAGGAGTCGAACCCTACTGCTCAATGTCCAGGAGTCGAACCCTACTGCTCAATGTCCTGGAGTCGAACCCTACTGCTCAATGTCCAGGAGTCGAACTCTACTGCTCAATGTCCAGGAGTCGAACCCTACTGCTCAATGTCCAGGAGTCGAACCCTACTGCTCAATGTTCGCCATTCACTTAACTACTGGTGAAAGTTAATAGGTGGAAAACAGCATGCCACACAATGCTAAGGTTCTGGATTCTGTTCCGGTACGCCTACGAAAAGCACCGTTACCGTGTGTTCATACAAATTCCAGAAATCACTTACTATATAAGTTGTTCACGACGGCTGCAAAACAGCAAACGTGATCACGATCTTCAAAAAGGGATACAAAGACCAAACCTCAGGACTAACGACTTGTCACTAGGTCACCTGCTGCAAGGTCACGGAACACATTCTTCATTCGAATATCGTGACACATTTGGGGAAAAAACACTTTCTTAACATAACATCTCTTCGAATTTGCCAAATGCAGCATATAGTATTTACACAGATCAACAGCCACCATAAGATATTACCGAAAGAATACACAGGCCCGACTGAACCAGAGGTCACGAACATCATTCAAAAAGACCTTGATGCCCTGACAAAATGGGAGAGATTGGAAGATGGCCTTTCTCTCCAATAAGTGAACATCCATACACATTTCCAGGAAGCTTCAAACTGTAGATAAAATATACCATCTCCACGACCTTACGCTCGAAAACATCTCCAACAGTAAAAACCTTTGGTGTAGAGTTCAATGAAGACCCTATCTTGATGTGCTCACAAAGAACCGACAGTAGCCAGGTAAACTACTAACTGTTTCAGTAGTGTTCCTGGTGACCTCACAAAGTTGACACAGGATCTTCAGGACCTTGGAAGTCTTTGGAAGGAGAGACCGGGTGTACATCATAATGCTTCAACTTTAAGACAGTTCTGGTCCCACATCTGGTGCCCAGAAACTCAAAGAAGCTGCTAACCTGTACTACCGATTTTAGCTCGATCCATTCATGCCTTGAATGTATTTGGTCCAATATCGGTAAAACATATATATGTTCTGTGGAATATATTTGTTCATGTCCTTGAATATATCACACCATCAGTTTTACTTATTAAACAACACTTACTCGAGTCTCTTACTCAAGTATGCAAATGAATTGTTCAGGTCAACCTATGTTACTTACAGTATCTATAAAGCTATTACACTTTGTCGACTCTTTTTGTATAATGTATTCATAAAAGAACACGAAAACGTAATTCATTATGGAAATGAATTTTCATTTATTAATAATTTATTTTTCTTTGTTGGTATGCCAAATGCGCTTTTCTGATTTGCCATTTTTTTTTAATTTTCATTTCTTGATGAAACAAAGTCAATGGCAACGTTCCACCTTGCTGCATACATTCACTCAGTATACCAGCAGGAAATTTATAATATTCAAAGCTTCAATATCATGTAATTATTACAGACATTGTTCTAAACATTTATATGTGATAGGGTATGTAGAATCTCATGCTTGGAAACAGACCACATACATAAAACATGGAGATTATTGTTTTATTCTCTATGTACCAACAAATGTACAGCTGCAACCAGTTTTATCACATAAAACATGCACCTTAAAAATATCACAGATGTTCTCGAGTGTAAGAGAGCACAAACATTGTTCTCAACTAACTGTAGTAGACGATAAAACATTCAGGAACTGATACAAACATTCTAATTGGTATCATTAATTGTGTGGGATGTTCTTGTTTATATAAGTCTTACACCACATTTGGCAGTCTTCTATGATATCCACATTTGACAGTCTTCCGTGATAGCCATCCTTAGATTTCCCACAGTTAGACACTTAACATTACATAACAACTTAACTCTCCTCATTGTTTCCCCAAAGTTCTCATAGCCATTACCCAGTATTTGGTTCATATATTTTATACTGTGCTCTGGTTATCCACTTTCTTTGCTAGTTTCAGCCAAGGAACAATACTTGACCAACTTCCAGACTCCATCATAATCATCAACTTTATTTTGATAAGAAATGCCTGGACTTGCCACTGACACTGACAAGGACCTTGTGGGTTTCTTTATGTTAGCTGTGCCCAGCAGACTGCTGAGCTTATCATAACTGGACATGAGGACTTACATGCCCTCTCCTCGGTATTTGCAGAATACCTCAGTCTGTAGGGAGGACCTTGTTTGTCATCAGTGATCCCTCAACACTGGTCCTACTGGTTAAAAGCAGTTAGTTTATCCTGCTAGAAGACAAATAGAGATGTGCCCTCTTGTTGTAAGACTGATGATGGCACTGAAGCACTGTCTAGAGGACCCAGTGGTTTAGCTCACCTCGTCTCAGGATTTCTCAGTGTACTTGAAGTATTTTGTATAGTCGTCATAAAGAACTTTAAAAACTTCTTTCACACCTGTCTGCAGTACAGTGTGGAGCTGAGAAATACTGAACTTGTCACAAAGATCCAACAATTTATACACCGCCGGGACTAGGGTCTTCTGTAACAAACAATGACCAATACAAACAGTTAATAGGTGCCTTGACAAAAAAAGATAATGTTATATTACAGTGATACACACACCATGTAAAATATCTTTTTACAGAATTCTTGTACTTTCTGACACTCAGATATCATCATTTTGTTAATAATTCAACATGTAAAGGATGGGTAATGTGTGAACAGTCAGGGAAGACGCTTACATAGATACTTTCTAAGACATCAGATGACACTTTTTATAAACACTACATAGAAGACACATGGTCCTATCTACCTGTTTATAAGGCACTTGTGTAGAGACACTTTCTAAGACATCAGATGACATTGTTTATAAACACTACATATAAGACAAATGGTCCTATCTACATGTTTATAAGACACTTATAAATACAATATATGAGACACCATATGACACATTTTATATATGACACATGGTCCTATCTACTCTTTCATATGACACATCAGTGACAAAATACATCCATAAGGTCTTCTAAAAGAACATCAAACCATTTTTGTAAACTAATGTATCTACATTTTAGGACACTTTCAATCAAATACTTAACTATGAATCATACGTTCAGTGAAGTAAATCAGGAGGCATCGTATCACCTAAACTATGCCTTTGACATTGATGCACCCCTAATAGAACAAATCAACTGAAGCATGACATTAATAATCAACATTAAATTGAAATCAATGAACCATGAAATGGAGGGCTTCAAAGATAACATGCTGGCCTTTATAAAAAGACTCTCGAAGCAAATCAAAATGTCTTTTTTATTTAAATTTAAATTGGGATCGAGGAGTAAATCTGACTAGGAGTCACACTGACCTTTACATCTGGATGGAGAGAGACCTTCTGTACTTCACATACATAGTCAGATACAAGGTAACCAGCCACTTTGTTAAAATCTCGCTTGTGTGTACTGATCAGCTGACACAACCTTTAACATACAAGTATAACACTGAAATATATCTAAGATACAACATAGAGCTGGCATGAAGTCAGAAAACTGCTGATAGCAGATATTTTTCACCTTAAAAAAGTACAATACAGAGGACTATACTACCTTTAATCAAGTTTCTTCTGTAAAATGTTACTTAACATGTCTGAGCACAAATGACATTTACTTTTCCAAATTGCCTGTGACAATTGAGAAATTTATGATGTTCTATAAAGGGAATGTTCTGTTCTTTGCTTATTTTTTGGTAAAAAATGTCCAAACATTTCAAAATATACATAACATTACTGATGTTGTACTGTCTTCCTCTGTAACGAAGGCAAAATCAACCATGTCTTAAACATCGGTACATATCTTATGTACTTAACATAAGATTTCAGTCTGGCAACTTACATCTACACTGTCAAGTGAATAGAACTTTTCTTCTTGTGAATTTTTACAAAATTTGTCATTAATTACATCATATAAATCTATGTAACCAAGAGAAATAGAGATAAAATTGTAGTTTATGAAGTATACCTATCAAACAGAAGTGTACAGTCTATCAGCTTGGTTAACACATCCGGATCCTGACCGATTCTCTCCTGGTCACCTCGGTTAACCACCACTTTCAGCAAACGTACACAAGTTAGGGAGCACAATTTTTTCTTATTCTCAGAAATGAAGCCACTTAATCATTAAATATATAATTGTTTATATTCTGTACATATAAGCTGTGGCCTTGACCGTAACATAGGAACACTGGATCAGAAACCATTAAATATATAATTGTTTATATTCTGTACATATAAGCTGTGGCCTTGACCGTAACATAGGAACACTGGATCAGAAACCATTAAATGGATAATTGTTTATATTCTGTACATATAAGCTGTGGCCTTGACCGTAACAGAAGAACACTGGATCAGAAACCATTACAAGAATATTGTTGACTTCTGTATAACATCTTATCAAAATCTCTTAAAAAATGAAAATGGTGGAGCATTGACAGTTTTCAGTTTTTGTATCAACAATTTTTATTTATAATATTCGTTAGGTAACAGACAATCTTCATTTAAATTCAAGACCAAACTTTTATTTCTTCTCATTCACATCAGTATTCATTTCCTAACAATGAACTTAGGGTAATGCATAATGTACCATAAGCATTGTTACAAAGTTGTACCTTAATAATCTTGTGGAGACATTGTGAGTACATTAGTCTTCTTGCTAGCCCCGACACTGATTCAGTTTTGGAAAATATTGGCAATCCCTAGAAGATGGAATTAGAGGGGATCTTATAGAGCTAGAAAAGCAACTATGAACATACAACTATCTTAGTTCAGAATCTTGTGAGTGATTGTAGCAAAATATTACCAAGTGATCTTGTCAGGATCAATTGTGATCTTGATACATTTTTATCATAAAGGAGTTGAAACTCACACCAACTCCACTCAAAATTCACCAGACATGATGTTATCTACCTGGATAGCTAGACAGTTTACCTGTACTCTACTGTAGTGTAAAAGGATATGTTTGGTGCAGCTGAGGAAGGAGGGGATAACACTGTAAACAGTGTTTGTATGATGTACCAACAGGGCATTGAGAACATTGTACACAGCATGGAATGCTGGGACAAAACTCGTGCTGCCATCTAATGGAGTGAACTGGCAACAGTGGAGAGCCATAGAGGCAGTGTATGATGACATCAGTTTCTACAATAGAGAAGAATATTTGTACAATGTATATCACAGACAGGTGAGAATGGTTGTCAGATAGGTGTTAATGGGTTCAGGTATAATCACATCTCCATGATATATTCATATAAATGTTTAACCATTTATCAATATACCTTTACACAATCAATCTCTCACAGGTATTGTTATATTCTACCATGCTTTAAAACAAAAACCACTCGAAATTTCAAATATACTTCTGGAAACAAAAAATCAAAAACTCATCATCAGTTGCCAATTCATTTATATAGATAATTCCACTCAAATGAGATACTGACAATAAGACCTGTCCCACTGAATGAGTCCCCACAGTAACCCCTGGTTATATTTAACTATTTTCCTCTTCAATGTGTATTATATACACTTTACATTTCAGTTCCTTCTTGGACATTGACTTGATTGATATTCTACCTAAAACTTTTCAAATCTTACCTCTGAATTATCATTACATTTTATAAAGTTCTATAACTCTATTCCTGAACTTTATTTCATATTAAACCATTGCTATATGTTCAGTGACTTAATGAAGTGTTAGTACTCACAGGCCCAAACTCCAGCATCCGGACCAGTGTGGTTAGTACTGGGACAGCTAGAGAACTGATCAAGCCCTCATCATCTATACCGTTTACATGCTGCATCAACGATACACAGTTCAACATCAGCTACAATAAATGAAGCCAGGGTAACATTTCATAGCAATTAAAGACGTCATGTTCATATCTTTTAAGCAAAATATTACACTGCATCCAAAATAATCAAATAATCCCAGAGTTCATTTTCATCAGGATTCCAGGGACTAAACATCCACATAATATCAAAGATTCAGATGACTATTGATGAGAAAATAGTTTACCACATATTATTAAAATTATTTACATTTCACTTCACAAACGTTAACATAATTGGTATCATTTAACTTACGTTTTTCACAGCATGAACTACGACACTGCTCTGGTTCGGCGAGAGATCAAAGTTCAGCAGCTGCTGCCAGATGTACAAGGTGGAGGCTAGCTGTTGTGTACCTGTCCCTATATACTCTACACCCTGGGGAGGTACAAGGAAGTACATCAGCCAAACTATTACATCAGAGTAACATTATCATAGACATTCAACTATCATCCTTCATTTTCATAGGAGCAGGTGATAAAACACTACAGAGTTGAAACAATATGTGTCCATCACATTCTGATAAGACACTACACAGGGGGAACAACATGTTTCCACCACATTCTGATAAGACACTACACAGGGGGAACAACAGGTTTCCATCACATTCTGATAAGACACTACACAGGGGGAACAACATGTGTCCATCCTATTCTGATAAGACACTACACAGGGGGAACAACATGTGTCCATCATATTCTGATAAGACACTACAGGTGTGGAACAACATGTGTCCATCATATTCTGATATGACACTACACAGGGGGAACAACATGTGTCAATCACATTCTGATAAGACACTACACAGGGGGAACAACATGTGTCCATCCTATTCTGATAAGACACTACAGATGTGGAACAACATGTGTCCATCATATTCTGATAAGACACTACACAGGGGGAACAACATGTGTCCATCATATTCTGATAAGACACTACACAGGGGGAACAACATGTGTCCATCACATTCTGATGAGACACTACACAGGGGGAACAACATGTGTCCATCACATTCTGATAACTTTGGATCACACAAGTATATTCTTGCAACCAGATATAAAGCAACTATTATCAGTGTTGGAAAAAATTACAATTTTTATAAATTACCAGAAAATAACAGTAACACATGAATGTCCCCTCTCCTATGCATCAGGTGTAGAACTTGATGTTGTCAAACTATACAACTAATATAAACTAAACTTGCTAAGACATGCAATAAGAACATGGGATTGGCCATAATGAGACAGGACAGACGGATGGACAGACAACATGAGACATTGTCTAACACCTAGGTTTAAACAACAACAGGTGACACTGTCTAACACCTACTGTCTGAGTAAGAAGGCTGTTTATCATGTCCTGGAACTGGTCAGTCTCACAGGAAGGTATTAAAGCGGCTACAGTTTCCTGAAGCTGGGTAAGAATGACTGGTGTCCACTGCTGGTCAGTTAACTGGCCGTTGTACAGCAGTATCCTCCTATGAATTCTCCAGTCCGGTAAATTTGTATCATCAGGTTTATTTTCCACGCTGGTCAATGACATCGTTGTTTTCTGTGAAGTAAGTACCCTCTTAAACAGGGCCATGAGTATGTCCCAGACCTGAGCCTTGTGGTCAGTTGTAAACAGCTCTGTTAGCATTCCATGGCTACAGCAAATCACAGACAATAAGTTCAGAGCCTCTGACTGGCTACTATGTCCCACATCCTCCTGTAATCATAATAAATCAAACTTATAAAGTTGTCTTTATAGCAAGCACAAGAGATGAGTTTGATTGTAACTGAGTAACATATGCATCTACCATGCTCCATAGTAAAATTATAACAATACAGGTACAATACAGGAGACAATTTGTATCCATCAAACGATCTTTCTAAATCTGAACTGCGGGTCATAGTGCAAGTGCATGGCTATCATATGAAGAGACAACTAATAGTCTCCTGTTAAACGTATAAGAAGACTTAGTGCCAGAGGACAATGAGGGATAAAATGTACAATAAATATGTACACAGGTATATGATTTACGATATGTTCATATCACTGGGCAAGTAGATTTTAAAAGCCCCAAGAGCAAAAACATTAAAGTTTTACAAGTTCTTAAATGTCACAATTATGATTTCAAACAGACATGCATTTTAGGTTTTTGACTATTTGCGTAAATATTTGGTGCTATCTACCTGTTGTAAAACTTTCAATGACCAATTCAACAGAAGATGAAAACTGTCCCGAACTGTTTTTTCCACCTCGGTCATCTCCTCCCCAAAGGAACAGCATTTCAAAGTTGTTGCATAGCAACTGACAGCGGCCAGTGGTAGCTTTGTTGGATCTGTTTTCTTAGAGGCAACAAACTTGATGGTAACGCCAATGAGATGCAGTAAACAGGTCTCGCAGATCTCTCTCACACTCGCAGGTAAGAATGACTTTTTCAGCGACTAGTAAACAAAAGATTCAAACATGAAGTATCTTGACAACAATTTTTCTTCAAATTATTTTTTTGTTATTTTAGAATTTTTAAACATATTTCAAATCATATTAATATTTCAAAATTAAAATAACAACACCACAAATGATTGATAGCAACTGACAACATTTCAATACAAACATTATTTACTGTTTTTGTGTAATTTTACTCCATATTCAACTAACATATGTATTCTATAGCAAGCCCTGGAGGGGGTGGGCTTACAGATTTTACTTGATCAAGGTATAAGTGCACATTAAACAATCCTGTTTAGATTTTTAATTTAAACATATGTTATTATCTAAATAATGACAAGAGAATTGGACAAAAGTTATTACAGCTGAAGAAATGCCCTCTCCTGACATAAGATAATTACAAAATTCAATCAACTTGGACAGAAACAAATAGTTATACACGTTTTAAATCTTTTACTGGATTTAATGATGCACATGTCTCAAAATATCAATATCATCAGCATACAATTTATTACCATGTAAAAATATTTATAAATGAATTTCAACAAGTTTCGGAACTGACCAAAAAAGGTTATACTAGTGAGATCGTGTGATGTACTCAAAATGTCTGCATGATTTGCACACAATGTATACACAATAGGAAAATTGGCTGAAACGAGCTATCGCACATTTGTGTGTACATTCTGTGTTTCTATCCCACAAATGTGCCATTCTATCGTAGTTGATATAAATTTAGAAATGGTTTATAAATAAGTGTGGGATGGAGTTTCTCTATTTTCTAATTATATAAGAATACAAGTAAGTATATTTCCTAATTAAGCCATTAATATATAGGCTGGACACTTGTAGATATATCAGATACGCAATGAAAAGTTAGATGTACTCGTAATTTTAAGTATTCGTTTACAAAGAGCAACACGTGACCAGCCTTAAGGTATGGACATAAAATATATATACATTATATATGTAAAAATTAAACGGACATCTCTGTGTGTCACAGCAATGAATCATTTAAAACTTCATAACGTCAGAAAGGAAATTTTATTTTCATTACTTTTGTATTACTCTCGTTTTTCATTCATTTTGTAAACAAAGAATATATACTAAGGTAAATCTAAGAGTTAAGTTTGTTACAAGGGCGACCCAGCTGGTATGGATGAAGTACTGTCAAGTATATACCTGTATACAGGTGAACTTTTGTTGCCCAAGGCATCACTACCTGTCACTTTCTGAGGTGTGAAATATATACGATAAGACTAACTACTGCAGGTCCAGCGTTATTTCATAAACTTTTGAATTAAAAACAACTTTTATAATCACTAATCAATTTTAACGATCATGTGTTCGCTATAAAGTAATGACTTCATGAATTTTCTGTTTTATTTTCAATCCATAATATTAGCCAACCATTTTTACCAAACCACACAAAAATGTGCGACCCTATCGCACAGTTGTGCACACAAAGTATTTGGTGCATTGTGCGTTACCACAACTGTAGTTTTCACATTCAAAGAAATAACACTAAAAACTCTCACAATGATTTCAACAATTACAATGTTGACTATTGGTGAGATGAAACAAGTCACAATTGAATTGACTACAATGATGTCTAAATATAGTGTGTGATATATTAGTCTTTCTATCTCCAAAATTACAATATACTGGGTATTTCCTCTGGGATTCACAAGTCAAGTTTCTTTTGAAACTATCCTGTATATAAAGCAGACCAGTACACTTACTCTTTCTAGCTGATTTAAACAGCAGGACACTATAATCATGCAACCATCCAAACTATTATCAGTCTTCTTTTTCTTAAAGTCTGCTATCTTTTCTCTGATCTGAAATATAACAGGGTTTCTTTGACAATCTTTATCAATAAAAAATTTCTCAGTGATATATATGAATGCTCAACAAGTTACACTACAAGATCGTGTCTGTATCTCAGATCATCACATAGTAAGAGTAAATCTGAAAAAGCCAATAAAACAGTAGACATGGAAAAGAATCACCTCTAAGTGCAGAAACATTTCAATATCAAGACTTAATATCAACACGGTGATGTAATCTGTAGGATATCTATATATGCTTTATCATTACAACTGTGTTTTGGGTTACAGAGTTATCTCCCATTAAACAAATTTTACTGTTTAAATATAGGTACAAATGGTGTCTCGGTTTATTACAAAAAGGATATTTAACACTAGCGTAGATGAAAAGGTGAAATTAGCACTGGGTGTATCGCTATATTACTAACCTTCACTAATTATAATTTGTATTGAGGTTTTTTGTACCTTTTAACTGTAATTGTTGGTTTTTGGGAGAGCTTGTAAATGTAAGCAGTAATTTTGGGGAGAGCTATTACCTTGTTACTGTAGGCTGTAAGTTTCGGGAGAGCAGTTACCTTGTTACTGTGGGCAGTAAGTTTGGGGAGAGCTGTTACCTTGCTACTGTTGGTAGTAAGTTTCGGGAGAGCTGTTACCTTGTTACTGTAGGTAGTAAGTTTGGGGAGAGCTGTCACCTTGTTACTGTAGGCTGTAAGTTAGGGGAGAGCTGTTACCTTGTTACTGTAGGTAGTAAGTTTGGGGAGAGCTGTCACCTTGTTACTGTAGGCTGTAAGTTTGAGGAGAGCTGTTACCTTGTTACTGTGGGTAGTAAGTTTGGGAAGAGCTGTTACCTTGTTACTGTGGACAGTAAGTTTGGGGAGAGCTGTTACCTTGTTACTGTGGGCAGTAAGTTTGAGGAGAGCTGTTATCTTGTTACTGTGGGCAGTACGTTTGGGGAGAGCTGTTACCTTGTAACTGTAGGCAGTAAGTTTGAGGAGAGCTGTTACCTTGGTACTGTAGGCAGTAAGTTTGAGGAGAGCTGTTACCTTGTTACTGTGGGAAGTAAGTTTGGGGAGAGCTGTTACCTTGTTACTGTAGGCAGTAAGTTTTGAGAAGCTGTTACCTTGTTACCGTAGGCAGTAAATTTTAGGAGAGCTGTTACCTTGTTACTGTAGGCAGTAAGTTTCGGGAGAGCCTTGTAATCCATTACTACTGTTCTACAGGTCACTTCCAGTAATAACTTCATCCTCATCTCCAGAGCAGAGCAGACCTAGAATACAAATGTAGGTTTGCTTCAAACTTTTATCTTAATTTTGAGATAAAAAAATGTGCTTTCTATTACTTCAAATAAGAGTATCAGTGAAACTGAATGAATGACTTTTTGGACACAAAATTTTAACAATAGACAATAATTCTGTTCCCTGAATTTAGTATACTGCACATTTTCTTAGGATGACCAACATATACACCAAGTATAATGATTTTAGTTTTAATGCAAGCAAAGCTCTGCTCATGATACAAAATTTTTAACAAAGGGCAATAACTCTGGACATGACCAGTTGTCAGATGTAGTTTTCACTAGGCTACATTGAGTCGTACAATTCTGTGACATCAACAGCCAGTTTCCTCACCTGACAGCACAAGTACAGTTTATCTAACCAGTCCAAATATGTCACCAGATCCAGCATCTGAAACACAGGTGTGTGTCCTGCCTCCATGATAACAGCCATGAGACCAGCACACTTCTCTACAACCTTCAGATCTGTATCAACTGATCCACGCAGAGTGTGCAGAATAACGGTCAGCCCCAGAATACATCTGTGCTGGTCTGAAGAATTGAAAGTTTCTATTGGCAAAAGTGACAGGAGCTGTAAAACAAAAACGTCAATACACAATTACACACCTGTTGATTCAGTTACAAACATGTCAATTTCATTTTTCTTTACGATCACTTATAGATAATACCACGACCAGACAACAAAATTTAGATATGTGATTGTAGAATATGATGTAGATAACAGAAGCCATCATACTGAAATTCTTTCTGACAATAAAATCTACTTTGATTAAGAATGTCTAACCACAATTAACACGATGTATAGAGAATTAAAGTTTAATCTTATCTATTGTGACAGATACACACAGATCAGATATTGTACAAGATATTTCATTTACAACTTTACCAGGTTCTCATCATGATGTATCAGAACTATGACAAGCAACAGTTCATAGATAAAGTCAACTGTATGAATTTTAGAATGAATGAATTAATCAATTAATTGATTAATCAATGACATACTAATTATAGAAAGATCTGAAGATCTGATGGTGAAAATAGATTACGACACAGTACCTGGATCATCTTGCCTACATTGGAGATGACTGATGGAGACACCACTAGGTCATTGTCACTAGACAGGAGGTCACCCACTGTCGTAGTGATGTTCTGTAGAAATTCCAACTTTGTGCTACAAACAAAAAAGTTACCAAGTGAAATACAGCTAGACATTTATTTCAAATGTTTAAGACGTTCTAAAGTAGCCATGGAAGGACTTAATCACTTAAAAAATCCTGTCATTTTAACATCAATGTCCCATATTCAATAACAAGTACCATGCCAAAAAGAAAATGTTAATTGTGCATATTTATAAAACGCTTTATTGGTGGTGTTGTTGACTGAAATATTTAGGCCTTGGGACTACCTTATAATATATATAAACTTTATTTATTTTACAACAATTGCAAAACAAGTTATGTCAACTTATACTAATCGCTTTTGTTGGCCCGGATATAAGCGCAGGTCTTATTGTGGGATGAAACCGGAGTACACGGGGAAAACCCACGTCGTCGGGCAGGTGACCCCTTACCTTTTCACTTCCATTCCGGGAATCGAACCCCGGTCGGCTAGGTGAAAGGTGAGTGCATTACCACTGTACAACCCGACCGTCTTATCATGTGCAGGAGACCTAATACTTATGGTATACTCGCAGTGCTTATATATTTCATTATAATAAACACTCAGCAAATATTATCACAGTGAATCAAAATCTCACAGTATATATAATATCTAGAGATACCCGTGTTTAAACAGGTGGAGCAGCACAAATCTGAATCCCTATTGACAATCCACAACCAAGACAAATGTAAAATATCAGAGATAAAAAGTCAAATAATTATCAAGTATCTATCTAGATTAACTGACTGTGAGACATAATAAACTCCAGCATTGAACTCCCATTGACTAGACTACATGCTCAACTATGTCTACCCATTTGCTTCGTTCTGACTCACACATTAACAAAAAATGACTTAAAGTGAAACTTTCAGTAATACTACAAAACATGTATAATCACTGTTCCTAATTTGCATACATTATAAACTGTCCCATTTGGATGGTATGTCCAGATATTGTTTGGTCTAGGTGAGGAAGCAGAGTATTAGAGAAGTCCAATACACATTCATCTCTCTAGAATACCTTCAAACTTACCACTCCATATCCTCTGTCTAAACTTTGTCTGAATTCCCTTGATATTTCTAAAACACCTGTAAACTTACCGGTCCATATCCTATGTCCACGCTTTGTTTGAATCCCTTTGATATTTCTAAAACACCTGTAAACTTACCTGTCCATATCCTGTGTCCAAACTTTGTCTGAATCTCTTTGATATTTCTAAAAACACCTGTAAACTTACCTGTCCATATCTTGTGTCCAAACTTTGTCTGAATCGCCTAGATTCCCTAAAACCTGATATACTACTGATAAATCACTCTTCTTCTTCTTGCCACTGAAATGTAAACACACAACATACATGTAACCAAAATAAACAGTGTAATCTGTATACCATTTGTCATCTCTATGTTAAACCTAGAGACTAAGTCCCCTCTCCCAATTTCGTGGAAAATTCTTAAAATGTGATGACATCACATGACTTTTAAAAGTGAAAACAAGACAGATATCATAAACTTTAGCAAAACACACAAAAAATATTCACACATTTAACCTCTGGTTGTAATGATATATAGTGAAACCAATATAGGAAAACCATCTCACTGAAATTGTTAGGAAATGGGTTTGTCGTACTTTACCTGCAAGCATCAAAAGCATGACAAGAGAATCATATCTTTTTTAAGTTCTTGTGACTGACAGGTAGGGTTTTTTTCTTTTTCTACAGGAGAAAAAACTGTGACAAAAAATAGAAGTCTGGTAGAATTGGAAGGAGTTCAACACCTATAAAACACCTGTGGATGTACCGCTTTATGAAATGATGTTACTTACACCTTGACATTAGGTTTTAACGCTACACTGATACATTTCAACACAGCTGTCAGGATGGAGGATTGGATTTCTCTATTCTGCCTAAAAACATAGCCTTCCATGATTCTGTCACCAATTCGTCTCATGCAGATTCTGGAAAAACAAATCTTTAAATTAGAAAAGCAATATTTTCAAATTTGAAGTTGTTTTACAACATAGGTACATGTATATGTAATAAAAATGTATTCTCTAAACAACAGTTAGATGTATGCTCATCCAGAAAATATCTGCCCCTGCTCCAATGCAAAACAGAATCTGATCTAGTGTAGAACTTGATGTTATGATACTATGGGGTATATAACAATTAAATCTATTGAAAGGTTCTCAACATTGACATTGGTTTGGAAACAGGACAGGATGGAGTGCTGTGCAAAGAGACAGACAGGACAGACAGACATGGTTAACACTAAATGCCCCCCTCCTCTACCACCTACAAATAATTAAATGGTGGAGATAAAGTTAACTAAATTATTATTAACAAAGTTACTATTAAATACCTTTTTGCTTTTTCAAAATCTTTCAGGTTATTAGCTATATTTGCTTTAAATTAATGTGTAAAACTTGTAATTATTGCGAACACCATCTATGTTCCATAAAGAACGAAAACAATTGCTTCAGAACATCCTTTAATGATCACCATAGAAATTTGGATGTTCCTACCCCTCAATACCCACTCATCATCCCCTACTACACTAAAGGAAAAAGGATATTCTGACCCTTCGACATGTATACCACTCACCATCCCCTTATCACAAGTGATACTCCAGCTCCACAACCGGAATTTGGATACTGCTTCCCAACTCCTTAATATCATGTTCATTCAGCATACCCAAGCCACAGTACCTCGGTAATTCTCCAGCGTCACAACAGGAATTAGAATCCCAACTCCTCAACATTCATCCCAATCATTCCTCCCCCACAAGTGACTCCCAATCCTCACTATAGTAACCCCTTCTGGCCCCTTCACTATCTATCCCATTTGACATCCCCTAGCTACCACACATGAAATCTCGTCCTGAACTCCACTGTTACCTACAATGTCATTACCTAACTTTGGATGTTCCTACCTTTCACTTTGGACACTGTCATCCAGATACAGCTGCACTATAAAATCAGCAATTATCTTAATATGTCGCCCCTCCAGACACTGGGTCACCAAAGGCAGAGACATCTCAAGCAGACTCCACTTCGCTGTATTGCAGTTTTGTTTAGTTACACTGAACACCTTTATAAGGACAAAAAATTCAGCATTATTTCAGCAACATTACAAGCAAGAATAAACTTACAGTCGAACCTCATTATCTTGAAGTCAGCAAGACTGTGCTAAAACTTTAAGTAAGTCTAAATATTTAGTGTGAGGTTTGGCCAGGACAGACTTAAAATATTACAGTGTCTTTGAGTTACATGAGTTTGAGTAACGAGGTACAAGTGTATATCAGTTAAATGAACTTGAACTGTCATCCTGAGGATGACCTATCCCCTTTCCCATCCCATCTGGTTTAGTTCCAATGGCCTCAACATTTTTAGGAATGACCTTGAATTTCCCCAGACATGTACCATTGTCTTATGACATGCTCCATCTCCTTTCCATACACATTACATTATAAAAGTTTATATGGGTCTTTATCTTATGGTCAAATACAAAACTACATATACACAGATCTTATTTGGTCACCTTTCCATACACATTACATTATAAAAGTTTATATGGGTCTTTATCTTATGGTCAAATACAAAACTACATATACACAGATCTTATTTGGTCACCTTTCCATACACATTACATTATAAAAGTTTATATGGGTCTTTATCTTATGGTCAAATACAAAACTACATATACACAGATCTTATTTGGTCACCTTTCCATACACATTACATTATAAAAGTTTATATGGGTCTTTATCTTATGGGCAAATACAAAACTACATATACACAGATCAATAATTATTTGGTCAATCAGGTAATCTCATTTTTGACCAATCAGAAACCTCCACTATGTTTCCATAGGTCTCGAAACACCTTATGTGTCAAATTTGGTAAGTTCCACTGTATGACAACAAGTTTCATTAGAATTGACTTAAGTACTGATGATCTATGGACCATTACACAACATTAAACAGCCAGGGTAATTTTGAGGTGAGATAATGACACTGGACTACATATCAGAGGCCCATCACATGTGATTTGAAGCAACAGGGGAAAATGCCTTGACTAAGGACAAAACCCAAACAGCACAGATCGCAGCTTCCTCATAAACACTACAAAAAGCCTTGATCTAATCTACAGACCTTGGACCTTCACTGATTTCAAATAATCTGAATAATCTAGTACTTGACTGACGGAGTTGTCCCCCTAACTTAACAAAACGAGCCTTCTTTGATCACCAACTATAGTTACCTTAGATGTACTATAATAGGAATGAACTCAATTGGGTATATTGTAATGTGTAGTGATATCATAAGTTATGATGCACCTGTCTAGTCCACTATATCTCAACAAATGATTTCACTTTGGACAGATTGGAGCAACTAGACATCTTATGTGTATGTGTCACTAACTGAAAGCAAGGAACTGATTGGTCGGTGTTTTCAAGCATACTGTATGTAAATGCATAAGATAGAAAAGCTGACTACAGTAAATGGTTAGTGATGAAACTCACTCTCCAATAACTACAAATAATAATGTATCAAGGAAAAAATATACTTACTTTTCCATCCCACTCATGCCCTGCAAAGTTATCAATTGTCACTGTGAAAAGCTGATCTAGAACTCCAGTCAGAAGGGTGGACAGATCAGTAGAGGCCATTGTAACAGAGAGTAGAGTGACCCTCAGTACCTGGTGGACTAGGAGATCCTGAAACACAAAGGGAAATAATCTCAGTCACACAATTTTACAAACATCTCTATAAATTCCTTATTTCATTGTCACTTTTTTCATTCTTCAGCCAAAAAATCAAATTCAAGAAATGTTGAACAAAATACAAACAGCCAGCAGAAAATCTCACAAGCTTATCTATGTTTGTCCTCTATAAATGTCATCAGTCTTCAATCAAAATTTAAAACAAGTTTATTCTAATATGAAATGTCTCATCCCAGGTTTTTATGCATTCACAAGTACAAGTATATTTTAATTGAGTGTTTTTTTCTTTTTCTTATTTTTTTCAGACTAGAAAAGCCTATTGATACTACATGTAAATAGTTCTAAGATTCAACAAGAAGGATATTGCACCTTACCCAGCAGTACTTAACATCCATGTGTTCAGACTTGTCTATTGCCTTTTGTAGCTTTGTCCAATTGTCAGCTGACCAGTAAGTGTGGAGAATGACTGGACTGACCTTGCTCATCCCATCAAGATTTTTTTGTTTGTACCCTGTTTGCCGCTGTGTGTATTGTCCGAGCATTACCTCAAGTTCACCCCACACACCACATAAGAGGAGTGTCCCCAATGGCAAAGTACACGACTGGAAATATATTAAACATAGAACATAAACAGGAGGGTCCCAAGGGGCAAGATAGGTGACCAAAAACATATCAAACATGGAACATAAAATAGGAGGGTCCCAAGGGGCAAGATAGGTGACCAAAAATATATCAAACATAGAACATATATAGGAGGGTCCCGAGCGGCAAGGTAGACAACTCTCAAACAGCACATGCACTAGGATACAGGATGTTTTATCTTTGGGTTCTCTGAATATCCTCTAAACAAAGAACATCAGAAATCCCGACACCTGATCCTGCATGGTAAGCTCCCACAGAGAGTAGCCTCTTACAACCTACAATGAAATATAGCAAGCCCAGGCTCTTCTGTCTCATGGGTTCACAGCATGAGTATGCAATCAGGGTTCAGAATGACAACAAAAAACATAACAAAATATTCCTTTTCCTAGATAATATAAATAAACACTCCCATATTAATCCTTTCTATAATCACATACTAGAAATTCTTTTATAAAACTTCTTCATTTTAAATAGAAACATTGGTCTAATAATATAAGGTGTTTAATAACTGTACACCAGAAAACTTTGTCATTTGTTTACTGGCACTCATTTCACCCATTTGGTAACAAATCTAAAACATGATAGAGGCGCACGTTTTAAGTTCATGTAATATATAGTGTAATATATGTCATGATTTTAGGGGCCAATTTACAACTGGACGAAAACAAATAGTTTGATCTCCTAGGAGGACGAAAATAACATTAGGCCTTAAACAGTTACACATATTAAGCTTAAACTGTTGCCCAGTATAGAAATATTGATACATGTAAACCAATATTGACTAGAGAGAACTGACATCCTGTATCTTCTTACATTTTTACTCTCTAAACACAGGTCCAACAAGGGAACCAGAACGTCAGTTTCCATGGCTGTCATCAGCTGGTTGACCTTGACTGAGGTTGAGTCTGTGATGGAGTAGTCGACTATACGTACATTCCTCAGGTACAGCTGTACAAGGTCAGCCATACACACCAGCTTATTTCCCCAGTTTCCTATGGATAATACACAATAACATAACACATTTTAAATAAAAAATAAAGTACATTTTTTTATATAATTGTCTCATCTGTTTTAATGAATTGTCATTGATCTCGAACTTGTTTAAAAACTTTAGCTGCAATTCATAAAGAAAAAATTAACACAACATCTACCTTAAATTTTTAAAGCATATTTCATTTTTGTTAAAAAGATTTTTTTAATCAAATGGAATCCACAGTCAATTGCTCTTTATAAGGAAGGATTTAAGCTGCACCTTTTTCAACAAGCTATCCCTGACTTACCACAAGGTATTTTGATCAGTCTTCACTTTGAATGACCTGATACATAGTACACTATCACAACTCTATTTCTGTACATTTCAATTCTTCTTGTTAGTATTTTAAGCTTGATATGGTAAGCATTTTGAAATTTCAAATATCGATTATTACTATCATTATTATTATTACAATCTGAAAGGCCTGTCAACACATAAAAGGTCATAAGAGCCATCAACCGTTGAAATGCAGAGCGATTCAAAACGGAAATAACATCAAACAGACTAAAGAGTAAAAGACAAATGCTAAAAATCATAAATGGTTATCTTATCACAAAAGATTCAAATAGTAAGTCATAGTCTATGATATAGACCAACATCTTTCAGACAACACCACCTTTAAGATATTCAGTGCCTTTCATATATCAAAAAAAGTTTTTCAAAATAAATATTAACAATTGAAATTCGGTTTTGCTAAATACATTCAGAGAAAAAAGGGAAGAAAGTGATTTTCATTCAATGGAATTTCAAATGTAAAAAACATGGCACAAATACAACTGTAGTTGTCAGGGTCATAGGTGTTTCCTTCCCTCATTCCCACCCCATGTACATCTCCATCTGAAATATCTTTTATCTTTACATTGATAGCCTCCTTTACCTGAGTCTGACACCAGCTGTGGTCGGTACTTCTTGGTGATCACTTGAAGCAGGTTTTCCCAGATATCAACTGTGGTTCCCTGGGGTAGAGACTGGACCACATCACCAAACCTACAACAGTAATGAGAAAGAAGTTTACACATGGCCAGCTTTATACAAACTTATCCAATGTACATCACACATACAGTTATTACACCCATTAAATACAATGTTACACCATGTAATTACTATCACACCCATTACATACAATGTTACACCCTGTAATTACTATCACACCCATTAAATACAATGTTACACCCTGTAATTACTATCACACCCATTAAACACAATGTTACACCCTGTAATTACTATTACACCCATTAAATACAATGTTACACCCTGTAATTACTATCACACCCATTAAACACAATGTTACACCCTGTAATTACTATTACACCCATTAAACACAATGTTACACCCTGTAATTACTATTACACCCATTACCGGTAAATACAATGTTACACCCTGTAATTACCATCACACCCATCAAATACAATGTTACACCCTGTAATCACTATAACACCCATTAAATACAATGTTACACCCTGTAATTACTATAACACCCATTAAATACAATGTTACACCTTGTAATTACTATCACACCCATTAAACACAATGTTACACCCTGTTATTACTATCACACCCATTAAATACAATGTTACACCCTGTAATTACTATTACACCCATTAAATACAATGTTACACCATGTAATTACTATTACACCCATTAAATACAATGTTACACCCTGTAATTACTATCACACCCATTAAACACAATGTTACACCCTGTAATTACTATTAAACACAATGTTACACCCTGTAATTACTATTACACCCATTACCGGTAAACACAATGTTACACCCTGTCATTACTATTACACCCATTACCGGTAAATACAATGTTACACCCTGTAATTACCATCACACCCATCAAATACAATGTTACACCCTGTAATCACTATAACACCCATTAAATACAATGTTACACCCTGTAATCACTATAACACCCATTAAATACAATGTTACACCCTGTAATTACTATAACACCCATTAAATACAATGTTACACCTTGTAATTACTATCACACCCATTAAACACAATGTTACACCCTGTTATTACTATCACACCCATTAAATACAATGTTACACCCTGTAATTACTATTACACCCATTAAATACAATGTTACACCATGTAATTACTATCACACCCATTAAATACAATGTTACACCCTGTAATTACTATCACACCCATTAAACACAATGTTACACCCTGTAATTACTATTACACCCATTAAACACAATGTTACACCCTGTAATTACTATTACACCCATTACCGGTAAACACAATGTTACACCCTGTCATGGTAAATACAATGTTACACCCTGTAATTACCATCACACCCATCAAATACAATGTTACACCCTGTAATCACTATAACACCCATTAAATACAATGTTACACCCTGTTATTACTATCACACCCATTAAATACAATGTTACACCCTGTAATTACTATTACACCCATTAAATACAATGTTACACCATGTAATTACTATCACACCCATTAAATACAATGTTACACCCTGTAATTACTATCACACCCATTAAACACAATGTTACACCCTGTAATTACTATTACACCCATTAAACACAATGTTACACCCTGTAATTACTATTACACCCATTACCGGTAAACACAATGTTACACCCTGTCATTACTATTACACCCATTACCGGTAAATACAATGTTACACCCTGTAATTACCATCACACCCATCAAATACAATGTTACACCCTGTAATCACTATAACACCCATTAAATACAATGTTACACCCTGTTATTACTATCACACCAATTAAATGCAATTTTACACCCTGTAATTACCATTACACCCATTAAATGCAATATGTTACACCCTGTAATTACCATTACACCCACTTTATAAGATACAATATATCCTGTAATTACAACATGACCTCTGACCTTTCAGAGAAGAGGGATGGAAAGCCTGACCAAGTTGTTAGGTTGGACTGTTCCACCGTGGCCAGGACTTTCTCTATCCATTTAGGAACCTGTCGTAACTTGCCATAGGTAGAAATCAGCTCAGTAAGAAACTTGTCAGCCACATCACACTGCTGAAGTAGAGAGAGATCAAGTTCACCTCAAATTTCCATGACATGTCATGTTTAAACCTACAGAACTACAATTGTTATCAAGAACATGTGTATGATATCTTTGTTATATGCATTGTTGGTTTCAACAACAGTTTTACTTATAAATATTACCCATATGTATCACAACAATAGGTGTTAAATGACTGTAATGGTGATGTATGTTTTACCTGGGCCTGATTCAGAAGACACAAACGCAGAACTTCAGTAAGTCTTGGTTCCAGGATCATATGGTTTAAGTACAGCAGCTGTTGGAAGCAATCAAACACTTCTGGGCAGCTGTAAATCAAATTCAATATCAAATTCTAGCTCCTTTTTCCACATATTTGTTTAGTTTCTGAGAAACCATATCAAAAGCCTTAAACAATTATACAGTATCAAAAGACTTATTAACATCGTAATCTCTACAGGGAACAATATATTCAGACAATTTTGCCAAACTCGTAATTTGAAAGCAAGATTGAGATGATTTCATAGAAAAGATTTGGGTTCTTGGACTAGTGGATATTTTATTATAAAGTCAGTAAAAAGGACAAAACGATTCACCCCAGTGACTATGATTCACCTTAGCGACTATGATTCACTCCAGTGACTGTGATTCATCCCAGTGACTGTAATTCATCCCAGTGACCCCCAGTGACTATGATTCACCCCAGTGACTATGATTCACTCCAGTGACTATAATTCACCCCAGTGACTATGATTCACCCCAGTGACTATAGTTCCACCAGACTGGCTAGGATGTCTTACCTACTACTCCTCAATACCACATCCAGTATGGTCCTATAGGCCTGAAGTTGCTGTCCACCAGCAGCATTGTCATTAGCAACATGATAAATATCTGCCTCCTGGACCATCTTAAGTAGGCCAGTTATCACCCTTATTAGTGATGGTTCAAGTGCTTGTTCACAGGGGTCGCTGTCATCTAGTTTTACACCAATCAGAGAGCAGATGTAGAGGAAGAGTCGGTGGGCTGTGATATTATCTGAGTTACTAAAACAGAATGATAAATCATTTTTTTTGTTTGTCATCGCATAAACAACCAGGATCACTTTGAGGTAGGATCGCCTTGTAGCAGCTCCTGTCTACAAAGATATCAATATCTATACATGCATGATATTTTAATTCCAGTGAACTAAATCAAAACCAGGACCACCACAAATTATTAGCCCACATGAAATAAAATGCCTGTACAGAAGTTGGTTACTTGGCAAAAAGTCTTCATGTATTGTTACATTTGGTCTAATCAATTAAGTATGAGAAACACAAGTAGTGATTGTAACAACAAAATTAGAGTTATTTTTTCATTTCTATAAAACACTTACCACTTGTGGTGAATAAAGCCGTTGAAGAAGTAGGGGAGATAATCTAGTGTAAACAACCTCATGTCCTTGTTAGACGTCAGTTTTAAGGCATGCTATAAAGTCAAAAGAAATCAGCAGAAATTTTCAAATACAGACATTTTATATCTGACATGAAATAAAAGTTGAATTAGTCAATCATGAAAAGATATCATTGATATGTGGTTTATCTACTTGATTATAACACATTATCTACATTAAAAAACAAAAAACAGCCACTCCTGAAGTCAGCCTGCAGTAACCAGCACTGTTTCTTAATATATTTATGTTGATAAGGCTCTGTATACCACTAGGTACCTTCTTAAAACCTTGGAGACAAATTATTACATACACTTAAATTTAATCCACTTAATATATTGATACTATTAATCACTTACACTTAAAAATACCTTATTTCACAAATCTCCCTCTTCAGTTTTTGTGAACTCTGACCTAGATATGACTTTACATTCACAATTGACGAGCTTTTTGAGACCTGGACTCTTCAAGAATCTGATATCAGTAACTGAATCAACATGTTATTTTCATACAAATATTGTTGCGAGGGATTTGAACTCCCAATTTACTCTCATCATGTTTTTACGCGAAAACAAATCGCATGCAAAACACAAGTGATGTACAGTAAAAATACCTATAATATACACAAGTTTATAAAAATGTACTGCACTTGATTACTGTAGAAATTTGACAAATATTAACACTACAAACACCTAATAGTAAAGAAATAAGTCTGTACTTGACTAAATCACTTGAGGTAGAATCACTAACAACCAAGAATATGAAGTAATATAAGTTCTCACCTTGCCATCGAGTATGCTGGATATTGTATTGAAGAGGTTTTCGATAGTCCTGAGATAGTAAGCCATTGACTCGCCTTCACCACAGACAGTACTCAGGTACATATTGAAGCTCACCTGATGGTCCCTGTAAATAAACAAATACTTCAATAACATCTGATTTATCTATTAACCAAATTTCTATTACAGATTAGGGGTCTTAGAAATGACTATAAAATCACATATTCATCACTTAATTCACATACTGTATAACAGGAAATTTTGTTGTGTAAATTTTCGTGGCTATAGACTAACCACAAATACAAAATGCATCAAATAAGGATTCAGTTGAAAGAATTATGTGTACATTTCTCTGACATCTAACAAATTGTTTTACCTTCAAAAAGCTATATTTGGTCTAAACTGATAAAATGTGTACCCAGGGACATTTTGTATTATACAGTACTTGCTTGTTATTACCTGGTGAACATTTTATTTTACAGTCTGGACTTGAAGCCTAACATTACTTTTTACTTACTTGTCAAAAATGCCATTCTGTATGATGTTTATAAGTGTTGTTCCTAGTGACTTGATCTCAGCCTTGTCTGAATGGGTACAGCCCCACAACATGACTGCTGGCACCAACAGTTTAGAAGTAACCATCTGTAGTACCTATAAAAAAAGCCATTGAAATATAAACAGTGAATTAATTAATCTGAACTGTTGAGAAAAAACAGTATGAAATGTATCAAATAAGTAAAAACACCTAGTTCAGGTCATAACACATAATGTTTGTGACTAAATCTTCTCATACCAGTACTGTGACATGTTCAAATGATCCCATTGTGAATAAGAACTTCAAATTAATTTACATGTTACATTTTTCTATTTCAGCTCCATAGTCTCAATTGTTTCCATTTATACTAATCCAATTATAATTGTTCTTGTTTGAATAAATGTTGAAGTCTGTTAAAGCCTAGGAAATTATAGAGCACCCATATGTTTCTAACTTGAGAGAACAGTATCTTAAATCAAAGTAACAGTGAATCCACATGGTCCTTACTTGGTTGATACTTCATGGATTTAATGGAATGATAGTGAACTTCCTATTTCTCATTTTGCTGAGCACTTGATAAGCCAATGAAATAAGAGCATACTGACCTGTTTCTGGTTTGGGTGAGCCCTCTGGGAACCCTTATAAATATGTATGACTTTCTCCAGAAGTTCGACAAGATTTGAGGATGGTTCACGCCCAGTGGTGACATTTCTGACAGTAATCTGGACCAGAGCTGACAACAATCCTGCCTGTACACAGAAAAAAAGATTCACTGCCAAATAATATCTCTTGTCACTACAGTTGTATCATATACCAGAGTTACATCAAGCAGCTCAAACCATAAATTAAAGTTTGAACTAGTACACACTATTCAGATGATAAATTAAAGTTTGAACTAGTACACACTATCCAGATGATAAATTAAAGTTTGAACTAGTACACACTATCCAGATGATAAATTAAAGTTTGAACTAGTACACACTATTCAGATGATAAATTAAAGTCTGAACTAATATGCACTATTGAACATCTCTATGGCACATTATCTTTAAAATAATTTCAATACCAAAAGCAGATTAACACAGAAGATGATTTCCAACCTGTGCTCGTCAGGAAGGGACATCAAAATTTATGGCGCAATTTACCGAGCAGAGAAATACTTGTAGCCATAACCTAAACTACTTCATAAAGAATTTGATGTTGAACTGATGAATGGACAAATACTCTAAACAAAAACATAGTGATATGATTACCGATGATATCCATACAATATGTTTATAAAAAGGACACAGACTTACCATATGTTCATACTTGGTGGTGAAGACATAAGCTAGACATTGTGAGTGTATTATAGCATAGCAACAGCCAATAACAAGGCTAAGGACATCAGACTCTGCATAAACCTTGGGATCTGTCAGGGCACTTATCAGTACCTGTCACAAAAATATCAGATTCCTATAAATATTAATTGTCTCACATAGTCAAACTATGTAAACAGAAAAATACATCAGTTCATGTGTATATAAGAGTCTATTAATTGCAGGGTGCAAGTAATGACATATGTACTGTTCATAACCAGTGATAAATCTTCAGGAAAGTCCAAAGTCCTGAACTCATAGAATTTTGAAGGGATACATATAACTTCTGGAATAAAAAGTTGTTAAATGATAAAAAGTTGTTAAATGTAAATTCTAAGTAAATCAAGAATGTAATTCTGTCAAATTACAGCAAAAATATATGTGGCAGGTGTGTTCTGACAATGGTTGAGTCAGCTGCAGGATAAACAGCAATTATTGCACGTTCATTTATATTTTATAGATCCACAAAACAATGACAAGTTTGCCCTTTAATATAATTTGATATTTACCCACCTGACATATAGACGGTTTGATTATGATTGTCTTTCCAAATTTACTGGGTTGTTGTGCTTTTTGTGTATGTAAAATATCAAATAAGCATTTCAACACCAACACACTGTCTTCATCTGTCACTTTGTTCCTGAAATAAACATATTGTCGATAATGAACGCTGTATACATACATCTATTAAATGCCACTTGAGAGATGTAACATTTCTTTTCCAAGATATGGGATGGTGGGGCGTATCAGAGGGGAACTACAAATAATATCAAGACATTTTTTACTATTTGATTGAAACAATACATTATACTTAACAAATACCATTTTAGTTTTTGAAGAAGTATTTGGGGTGTATACAAAACCAAAAACTGTGTAATAGTGCACATTTCTTTCATGTCTACCTTTAAATTTACTAATTACATACATGTACATATAATCTCTTATATTCTACACAAACTATATACCCACTTTTTCTTATTGACCAGTAATCCACATAGAAAGTCTATCAACACCTGCTCCTTGTTAGGGATGAATGCTCGCTCTGATTTCCAGGCAAACAAGGCTAACTTCACCTTATCCTGAATAGATCCATCTCTAGACTTCAGTCGCAGGTACAGACCTAAATTTAACAAGATTAACTATATAGAGTCTGGCCGACCACCTACTGACTTCTATTGACATCATCGTACAATAATCTGACTAAATCATGTGGCCCTGGTCTATGCATAATTCTAAATTTCCACAGAATTCCTTTTTCCTTATACATGTACTTGTTTCCGTTTTCAAAGGAAGCTGATTAATTTATTACCTAATTTCTTAACATGTCAGTATATACACCTGTATACTGGGCATGACAAACATGAGGCATCAAGTGATAGGTATTTTTGTAGATATTCAGGTATAATTAGTGAGTAATTATACTGATGTCACATATGGAAATAGGTAAGCAAATGTATGGATAGATGGGTATGTGTGGGTATGCAAATGTGAGCCATCTATGTTCTTTTTGGATATTGTATTGATGAAAAATCGAAAATACAAAATAAATTACAAAAAAGTTATCTTACTAAACAAAAAAAAAAGTAATCACTCAAACAATGAATGAAATCATCTCTAACTGCAAAGAAGCAAATAACTTACTACTTATACTTGATTTAGTAAAGTTTCATCAGGTTGAGAATATCATTGGATTTCAATGAAAAAGAGCATGCATTGAAACTGAAACACATCCTCACAATAATACACTCATCTTAGTCTAGTCCAAGGGTTCTGACTACCAATACCAGTTGGATATCGACCACAACCAAGACCAAAACATGACATTGTGGATAGATTTCTGAACCCTGAATTTGGACCAATCTAAAACACAAGGTTTCTATGGAATTGCATATTCCCGTTTTGCTGCCATGATACTGACTTCACTTTGTATTTAAACATTTCAAAAATGGTTTTTGTGTGTTATTGTGCTTATTAAAAAAATAAAAATTGAACTTGTGACGACTCCACATTGAACAGATGGAGTCTACATCCTCTCATTGCAACGATAGTCCATAGAAGCTTGTCATCCTATCAGTATGTATATATTGTTATGAATTTTCTTGTCGTTTGTTTGTTTACAGTGTAAATAATTTGTTATACAGTTTAACAGATCTAGCCCATATGTAGTGTCAAAGTTGTATTTGAATGAAATAGCTAAGTAGATAAGAGTGACCGTATGTACTCTTGGAGGGTCAAGTACACACTTTGATGGACCGTATTGTAACACTGGTGGCACTGGTTGAGATTCGGTACACTGGTGTCAGCGTTAAGAATTTAACGAACATCAAACTGGTATGCAGCGCAGAGATTTAGAGTTAAAAGAAACGTTACACTTGTGGTAACATTGGGTTTAGAATAATAGAAACTTAACACTGGTGAAATTGCTGGAAGTTAAAAGAACATAACACCATGATAATCCTTATAGAAAATATACCGTACATTATAAAACATAGGATTGTAGATCGAAGCATCTTACTTCATTCTGAACTTAACATAACAGTGTCGAACTTATACTGAAGTACATTCTTACTTATTACTGCATCATAACACATGTATGGTGTGGACAACACTAAACTACAAAATCAGGTGGGAAAATATGAACTCTTAAATGTAAACATTTCCACGTGCCTGCATACAGAGCTGCCATCTTCTTTTAAGACAGGAGAGTTCCGATATGTTTCGTATTGCAGAGTGACCTCCCTTACACTATATGAATCAAACCGCAGATATTAAAACTATTTTTGATAAATTGAAAGGTGTACATTTCCCCCTTCGTAACATTTATAATATCTATATTATTTTATTTTTAGTTGAAAGAAATAAATAAATGAAATGTATAAATACGAAAGGAAAAATGAAATCCAATTTAACGAAAATTTAATCCATTCTTCAGTACACGTTACTGAAATAAACGACTCGTCTTCTTGCATTTTCGTTAAAAATAATTGCTCAGCACGAGATTTGTTTTGGACGAATTGACATTTGAATATTTATAATATGTATGCAATATAAGGAAAGACATGTTCACTTCTATCCAATATATACATGTTCGTTTATTGTTTCAATATATTTCAAAACTTCACCGTTTGATTCACCATATTTGCATTTATCATTTATTCATTCCCACAGTCAGGGTAGAATTTATCTTATCTTGTCTATCGTGTATTTACCTGGATCGAGGAGAAACGCCTGTGAGGAATGTTAAATTGGCCTCCGTCCGTCATGACAGTGCGTCTGTGCGTTGGTTTTTTCTAGAACCAGCCTGAGAGGTCTGAAACCGTTCAAGGTTTACCACTCTAAACTTTGTACAGTTATCAAGCAGGTACTCTTGTGACGCCTTTTGCTAGGGAGAATTTCTCCGTTTAAATACCATTTTTTCTGTTATGGAAACAAATAGACCAAATTACAATTTCCAACTGCATTGATCATGACTTCAAAACCGTTGAAGTATTAAACTATAACGCTCTGGTAGTGTATTGGGGTCCCGATGGAACTGTTAGATTTTTTTAAAATGCTGTATCTGGAGTAAAAATATATATAAAAAAAAAAGTTAAAGATAACTATCTGAAACTAACCTATCACTGTAATGGTACCTGTAGCCTCTTTCTTCCTTGTTACCAAGGAAAGAAAATAGATACAAACAGGCAAAATTACGAATTTCACGGTTTCCAGAGCACGACGACAAATCTGTTTCACGGTTTCCAGAGCACGACGACAAATCTGTTCATAAAACCTTGCACACGTTAAACTAACACTCCCTTGGTACATTTTGCTTCCAGAGTTTTCATTTAGGATATTTTCCATTTCTGTTGTCCATCAAAAATTAAGTAAATCATTTCCAAGTTTTCCTATTTCATATGCAATCCTCGTATTTAAATATATATATATCCCATGATAAATTATAAAACAAGAATTATTGTTTCTGAAATCGTGTTATTTGTGAATGATGCCTAACCATACTCAAAAGCATCAGTATTTAAATATGGTCTTCATCTGGTTTTTTTCTGTTTTACCTTATTGTATAGACCTGGGATTCCCCTTCTTCAACTGTGTGGCATCATGATGGAATGACGTCACGTCAGCCATTGACCACTCGGCGGTGATATCAACATTAAACACACAATGTAAGATCCAACAGGATAAGCTCATTCACCTCGATCTGTTTGGGTGTGCTATAGGATTGAGATCTCAACCCTTGGGGTAAGATTATTAAGCTGACAAACGCTTGGCAAAGCCTTTTGATGTCAACATCTGCACATCTACGGATATTCATGTCTCCCTCGTGACCATCTCATTACATAGCATCACCGAAGCTATAACGATGGTCGAATGATGCTATCCAGCTTCTGTAAAAGATCTGTTGAATGAAAACATCAACATACACATATGTTCCTACAGACATGGATATCCGATATTTAAAATTACCTGTTTAGTTTGAAGATTTACGAACGATACCCAATATAATGCTATCGTAAACAGAACTCAAATCAACATTTACGAATGATATGTTTTGAATGCAGATTGGCAATTTGCTAAAAGCGTAACACGAGAATTTTTTTCTAAACCATTTATCACAATCACAGGGAACCGTCCTAAAGATATCAGCGTTGCAACATGTAATTTGGAATCAATACTCATCAGGATAGGGATAATGTTTCAAACAGCAAGAGTGCACATAGAATTAATATTTTTATTTTATCTATAAACTTATTTCTGGCCTTTTAGTTTATAGGGATGAAAATCACGACAAGTTCTAATTATGCCTCTATTAAAATTCTTCAAATTGATGCTTCGTGAAAATATAAATTACTTCCGGCGGAGATCCATGTTAAGATCAATATCTTGTTCCTGTCGGTAAAACTGTCAGATATATACATATATAGAAGGCATGACGTCTATGCGCGTGCAGCAAACGGTACGTGTCTGTAAGGCCC